ATTGAACGATCAATTCTTGGTTGTTTGCTCAAAATCAACTTCCCCAATTTTCGCGGAGGCATCAATACGACAGTCATCGTCTCATCGGTCGCTGTTCAGAAAGAAGAGTGAAACATCGTCAGAAGTAATACAAAGATTTATTATTGTAATATTTGTTTTCAGACCTTAGTTCGCTTATTCCTTTTATATGTTGGTGTAACAATACAGAAATATCAAACGGCAGATCGGTGTTTTGGTTTTTCGTCCGTTATAACTAAGCGTTTCTGAAATCTTCGAAGAACAGCGTGGGCCCGAGCGTAGCGAGAGCTGGGCATTAACGGTTTATGAGACGTGATTGACACACGTATTAACACAAGGAGAGTGCTTCGTTCAGGCAGAGTTTCATATTGTAGCGGTAAATAATCCCCCAAAATTATTGACCACAGCAATCACTCAACACTGGATGCTGACCACTACTGTTTAAGTCGGCTTGTTTAGCTGAGGGCTTTCGCTCAGGCATCCCCGACATTTGGTACTCCGTCGTGTCAAGTGCTCAAGATCCCTAGCCAGCTGAGCGTTCGTCTAACAACTCGTTTTGGTCCCGAAATATATCGCGTAATTTGGACGATCAAATACTGTATTTTGCTTTGTCTCTGGTACGCGAGAATTAATAAGTTAGAAGTTGTTGTATAAGAACTTGCGTTAACATACTCAGTAGGGTGCGCAAAAGTCTGTACCATCAACCTCTAAACTGGTGAGCCCAACCGCGAAATTTATCTGCGATAAATACGCAGATAACCCCGGAGAGTTCGTTCCTTTTTGTATTTGTTCTTGTGCCGTATTATATACGACATACTTTTCGTCATGAGTTATCTTAGTCCCAAGGTCATTCGTATCCGCTCAACTCCTAAAACCATTCAGCTCGTACCATACTGGCTAGATAATGCTGAAACGTGGTTTCAGATAGCTGAAGCAGATTTTTGTGAGCATGGGATAACCGATCAACGTTCACAGTTCCTTGCAGTTATTCACACCCTGCCGCGGGAATTCAGCAAGTGCGTAACTTTTCAGATAATAATAATATATATTCTCATTTTTTACATGAGGGACGCCAGTTTACAGGCATCATCAATTCGATAGGTTACACATAATATTAATAAGCATATTTAGTAAAGATTTTTTTTTTGATTCACAGCTTGATTCCACACTGTATTTTTGGTACAAGTATGGAATTTTCAGCATGGATATCGGTAGCCCAAATTTTGCAGGCCGACCATAGATATCAGGTGTGCGCCGGCGTGGGCTCGAACCCCGGACCATGTGCATGGTCGGCGAGAGTCCTAACCACTGTGCCACCGACGCACAGAAGGTACATTTTTTCCTAGCTATGTAGGATACACCAATTGTATAGGCATGCATAAATATTGTCTTAATAATAATATATTTCTCCCTGTTTATGCAGGAACATACCTGTTGTACAGGCATGGATAAGTTGTTATATAAATTACACATGATTTGATGTATAATGGATTTACAGTTTGGTTTTTCTTTCTGACATTAGAGTCCGTCGGAACAGTCTGCTTTAAAGTTTGTTTGTGCAACAAATAAAGAAATATAGGAATATTGTCTTCGCTCTAACAAAAAACCCAGACATCAGATGAATGTAATACAGATATCTGGGAAAAATAAAGCTTGAAGTCAATTCTCCTATATAACTTTGTTGTGAACAACACTCTTGGCTTAAAGATTATTGATGTATTATGTTGAGATCAGTAATATATTTATTCCATTTTTCAGCAGTCTCATCATAGTTTCATAACAGGAAAGAAATTTGATCGTGGAGGCCAAAACTAGATAAAGTCATGTTAAGTTGTTCCACTGAATCAAATGGTGCCGAGGTCATTTCCAGAATTCTCCATCTGCTCCATTTGTGTCTGCATGGCGGACTGTATTCGTAAGTTGAGTAAAATGTTGAAAACTGATTGAAAACCAGTTGCTTCTTCATTTCAGATCATGAATACTCATTTACAGCATGTTCGCCAGCGTCTTCAAATGGTAGAATTGGATCGTTCCTGGAATTTGAGGGATTATAAGATAAATGGTTTGGAATGAATCATAGCAGTTAGAATACAGTTAAACATGCAGAGAAGCACTTTTGATTTAGCGACCGGTGAATTTTTTATTCTTTTCGATCTAGTACCAGAATAACCTCGAACCATTCCATTCAAGATGTCGAATAAGGCACACAGGAGCAGATTATTACCATCGAGTGAATCAACTTGATCTGAGATGCAGCTTTCAGCATGTTATCGTTGTATCATAGATATCCAGGTTTATTGGCGCTGTATGGCGAGTTATTTGGATTATGACGTATTCTGCAGAGTCTCCGTGTCCATGTGAAGTATACAAATGCTTTGAATGGATTATTTTGCTGGCCCCTACCCCACTGAGTGTTTACAACAGCAGCTGTGGATTTATGTATTTCCTCACCATTTTGGATAAAACATCGCCGCATTCTTTTTGGGAAGGAGACCAGTTGGTGGATTATGAATGATGTTCAAGATGTCGAGTCCCGAGGTAAGTAACTCGTACGAGTTGCTCAAAGCACCCCTCCTCAGGAGAAACGTTCTCAAGGACCGACAACGTCTGAATGAATTATTTCGTAACATCGAGTTAGGAGATCAGTCAGCCGTGAGCATGCTGACAAGAATGAGAGAGGTTATTGGCCAAAGTCAGTTCGATGAAGGACTTTTTAGACAACTCTTTTTATCCAAGCTGCCACAGTCCATCCAGACCGTACTTGTGACACTTCAGGGTGTTATAATAGATGACTTAGCTATTTCTGCAGGTGGGATTCTAGAAATAACTAAACGGTCAGTTCCCGAAATATGCTCGATGATTAAGCAGACTTCGAGTAAGGATACTGCAGTGATAGAGTTATCCAGCGGATGTTTACGTCAAACATGCCCTCTAACTTCGACCGTCGTCCTAAATCTCCTCAACACCGAAACTCACGTGGTCGATCTAAGTCCAAGCCACGTTCTCTGAAAAACGCTGACTGGTGCTGGTACCACAACACCTATGGCCAAGCAGTGAAGTGTTGCTGTAAGCCTTGTAACTTTGGAAATGTCCCAAAGTCTGTGGGAAACTATCCCGCCGGCACGCGTTAGCGGCAACCGTCGCCAGCGGCACTAGCCGCCTACTTAACATCCATGATGTGATCAGCCAGACCCGTAATTTAGTCGACACAGGCGCCGAAGTCAGCGTCCTTCCTGCTACAGCAGCAGATCGACGGAAGTAACCTACCTTCAAATTACAGGCTGCAAATGGAAAACCAATCGCAACCTTTGGTAGGAAATATGTCTATCCGAACGTAGGTTTACGCAAGCCTATTCGGTGGATTTTACTTCTCACTGATGTCACAATGCCCATCATTGGCACGGACCTACTTAATCATCATGATTTACTCGTAGACGTCCGCCAAAAACGACTGATTGATAATACTACTAGTCTGTCTATCAAAGGCATCACATATATAGACCCCAGCTTGTCACTCGTTAAGATAAAGGCAAGCCTTGATCCAACTTTTCAACCTATTGTTGACAAATATCCGGAACTCAGTTGCCCGTCGAACGACCTACTGCGCATAACCAGCAATGTTATGCACCACATCATTACCACAGGACAACCCGTGACATCTAGAGCACGACGACTGGCTCCTGACAAACTGAGAATCGCTAGGAATGAGTTTGAACATATGCTTACTCTTGGCATCAGTCGACCTTCGAATAGCTCATGGGCATCCCCACTTCATATGGTTCCGAAAAGGGATAGCAATGATTGGCGACCCACCGGTGATTACTGGCGAGTGAATGCGAAAACAACCCCTGATTGCTGCCCGTTGCCTCACATGCACGACTTGACAGCAACATTTTCTGGCGCGGCTATATTCTCCAAAATCGACTTGGTTAAGGCGTAAAACCGAATCCCGATGGCAACAGAAGATATTCCGAAAACGGCTATCATTACGGACTTTTTGAATTTCTACGTATGCCATTTGGTCTCCGGAATGCAGCCCAAACATTCCAACGCTTCATCGATGAAGTATTTCGCGGTCTCGACTTTGTATACGCATACTTAGACGACTGCTTCATTGCCAGTCCAGACAAGGAAACTCACCTTAGACATTTGGACTAGGCATTTGAAAGGTTACGCCAACATGGTGTTACCATTAATATTCAAGTGTCAAATCGGCGTTGACTCACTCGACTTCCTGGGTCGTACTATTGACTGCAAAGGCATTCGCCCACTGGCTACTAAGGTGGAGGCTATACTGAACTTTCCAGAGCCACAGACGGCGAAAAGTCCCCGCACTTTTAACGGCTTGGTAAGTTATTATCGACGCTTTATTCCCAACCGTGCCTCTCTGATTCAGCCATTGACAGACCTTCTTCGAGGGAATAACAAGTCTGTCGCACTAGACACGTCCGCTTGAAATGCTCTTACCCAGGTTAAAAAAGCTATTGCGAATGCCACACTTCTGATGTATCAGGATCCAACGGCACGGTTAAGTATCTCGGTTGATGCATCAACCTCTAAAATATCATATAAGGAGGAAATTTACAAACTATATTTCTGTCACAAAAGTGACTGAGTAGCTGACCGATTATTAGTATTCGTTATCCTAGGTAATGATCTAGGTGCCAACCTGTTCTACTTATTCCATTCCTCCGGAACCAACCAATTTAAGAGAACATCATTCCAACGTTTTGAGACCACGGTTCCTTTCTCCGCTTGGAAACTGAAATTCTCAATCTAAACAAGTTATTTCAGTATACTCTATTGATTCATTCATAGCGGTAATATAGCTCTGATGTGAAGTAAATGGAAGGGATCATTATTGGTTCAAAGCCTACATTGTGTTATAAAATGAAGTCCAACAGATGTTAAGTTGTTGGACATTGAGTGACCTAGCCAGGAGCGCTTCCAAGGTCATTGGTGTTTAGTGTTTCGGTCGCTGGATGGCGTCCAGGACTCTAAGCTTATTCCAGAAAAGTGGAGGAGTCTTAAAGGGGTGCTCAATAAGTACCCTTAGACTTGCAGTAGATGGGGAAATTAAGCTTGCTAAACCTCCTCGTTTTGATTACTTTTCCAGAGGCGATAATATGCTAAGTGCGATTTTTGATAATGCTAGTAATCGCTTTAATGATAACACCAAAGTAATACTTGTCGAAGGTAATATTGCCTCTGGAAAATCCAATGTCGCCGCTAAGTTGGCTGAACACTTTGGTATGGCATATTTTCCCGATCCAACAGAAGACGATATATATATCAATAAAATGGTGGATCCACCCTTTGATTTCCGTTGCCATAACTGCTTACTTCCTGATTTCGCGAAATATTATACATGCGAAATGTTTTGGAATGAACCAGACCTGGTGAAGAATGGAAAAGGCTTATTCCTCCAATACCATTTCTACTTGAGACGTTACTGGAACTATTTGACAGCATTATGTCACTTATTCAATACAGGACAAGGAGTAGTTATTGACCGAGGTCCTTTCTCGGAGTTCGCATTCGCTGATGCTATGCATAAATGCAATTATCTCTCAGAGCGTGGTAAGTCTTCATTAGTATCTTCTCGACGTTTTAGGACTACTTTGGTTCAAACAGAATCATGCATTGACTATCCCAAATCTCTGGAAACCTCATATAATAGTTTATATTAGGGCTCCCATCTCGCAAATACGTGAGCAGATAAAGAAACGTAATATTGTAAGTATTGAGTTATTTTCATATTCGTTAGTATTAACTAGTAGTATGTTTTGGGTGTTTAGTCTTATAGCATGAAATGACACGCAACCAGTTGGCAAGCTCAACACTAGTGTGTCATACTACTAAGTTTGACTAGCTTTTAGACCTTAATGACAATTTAAATATTGTTTTTATCAATGATAGAATAGTTTTTGTGATACTACATGACGTGGTCCTAAACGGGATTTTAGCCTTGGACTCTAATTATAAAAGTGCGTTCATGCTAAATAATTCACTTCCAGTGTGTTCGTAGCTGTCTGTAACAGTGATCGTAAAAATCTTTGAAATATAAGGCATGCTGGAGGTTTGCGTATGACAAGAACAAAAGGTCTGATTTACACATGTCTTCAGGCGAGTTAGTTTTCTTTCTGGTACAAATTTACAGGGCACTGTACGCACACTACGCATTAAATGTCTGTCTGTCTGGATTCAACATAGAACTTGGCACCGAAGTGCAGCAGTTCGAGTTGCCACGTTCCAAATAGCACACAGAGGTAGACAAGAAGATGAGTGAAGAGAATTAATAGAGTTTGACAAATATAAGAGTGAAACAGAATGGGTAATGGTAGAAAGGAATATGAAAGATTACAGAGATTGAATACATCTGCACCATTGACAACGATTTTGAGCCATGTCACCTATTGTCTCCAGCCATTGATTCCTAGAGTCAGTCCCGAGGTCCCCAACCCGGGAGTCTGCATCTCCCTACCTGACTCAGTTTAACTGTCAAGGATTTCATGGATTGATGAGGCCATGTTTTTGTTTGGCCACCACTGGCTCTTTTCCAACCTGAACCTATATCAGCTAACAATGCCCGTCGGGGGAGGCGGTGGTTAGGCATGCGCACCACGTGACCTAGCCATCTTAGTCTATGTAACTTTATAACCTCGTCGATTGATTTTCCCTCTTTGCCCAACACTCTACGCCTAACGTCAACATTACTTATCTTGTGAAACCACCTAACGTGAGACAGAGATCGCAGACATCTATGGTCGAAAGCAGTCAACCTTTTCATGTCTTCAACGCGTATTGGCCATGTTTCAGAGCCATAGAGAAGGACGGAGCGAACTGATGAGCAGTACACACGTCCCTTGGTTGATAACCGGATGTCACGCCTACGCCAGAGATGGTGTAAGTCAGCGAAAGCAGCTCGAGCTTTTCGGATCCGTGCTGAGATTTCATCGCCAATCAGTCCGTTGGTGCTAATACAACTTCCCAAGTAGGTGAAGTGGTCAACATGTTCTATCACTTCACTCCCTATCACTAAGTTAGGGGTTGACGTGGTCCAGTCCTGTAGCAGCATCTTACATTTTGCAGGGGCGAATCGCATGCCAAACATACGAAGATTGCTGCTCAAGGTGTTCAGAAGACTCTGCATTTTGTCAGCATCCTCCCCTAACAGGACTATGTCATCTGCATATTCTAAGTCCATAAGACTATTCCCTGGTAACAAGTCGATTCCTAAGTCACTACGTTCAGTTAAGGATACTTCCATTAGCATATCTATGATGAAGTTAAACAGAAATGGGGAAAGTGGACATCCCTGTCGGACACCACTGGTTGTTACTAATTCAGATGACAATTCCCCATAAGCATTAAATAGGATAATATTTCGAAAAATCCCCCATTTGTTCCAGAAAAATTCTTCTGGACAGTTGCTCCGGTAGTGTGGAGTCTAGACAGTCATGTGTTCCCAGCGTCACATTAGTCGTCGAAATACTAATCATTTATATCTTTCAGAGCACTGTAATTCGTGTGAACTACTCTATGAAACGTAGCCAGTTGGTTAATATTTTAACTTCAAATATTACCATAAAGTTTGTTAAGAGCACCATATTTGGAACCTCATGTGTGTGTGTGTGTAGTGGGTGCGGGTTAGTATCTGGTATCCAAACTAATAACGGTTACTGTGTGGAGTCGCGTATATATTATGAGGAGTATCAAAGCAATTGGCAGAATAGTGGTATAGGCGAACTTACTAAAAAGCTGCTAGAGGAAGCTGATAATGCGCCATCAAGATAGCCGACTCACCGATATGTTCGTAATTGGCTGGTAGGTATGTATATATTGGGAAAGTGAACTCATTAATTGTTGGTATCACTTCAATACATATCTGGTTGTAGAATGATTGAAATAATGAACTTGCAAATCTGGCCATAATTTAAAGTTCTATCAAACATCAAAGTCAAGCATGCATCCAGTCATTAAGTTGTGCTAACTGAAGTACGTTGCATTACAAATCACATTGACAGTTAAGTACGAGTGTTTTCTGGGTTATGCTACACATTTGTCGTGAGTAATTGGAAGCAATTCCTGTCTCATTATTATTATTATTCCCTTGTGTTCCGAGTGGAACATGGTGCTTCAACACCACATCTCCATTTTGTCCTGTTCGCTTCAGTCCGCTTTAATTGTCCCTACGATATTTCCGGAAGCTTTCATCTCATCATATAATTTCCACCATATCACCCTCAGACCAACACCAAACTCGTCGTTTCCCAGTAGAAGGCCTGGCGCTGCGATGTCGCCCAACGGTCTCATCCACCTCCACTTTCTTATGCATATTTTCTCAATTTGCAGTGTATACAGTTTTAGGGATAGAATCCCACTAGAGCTCATCAACGGTGGAAATATGCTTGGTTTCTAGATTATTATTTATGATATAAAGCAAATAACATACTGTGATCTGCGAAATTCCGTGTTTCCAAAGGGAATTGTAATGGAAATTTCACTCCTCGAACTGTGAAAGTTGTAAATTACTGACTTAGTTTACAAATTGTAAATTTGATTTATCCTGTTGTCGAGTTGTTGAAAGAAGAAGTGATAAGTAATGTTTTGATATGGGGTTCAATCTAGTTGCAAAGTTACAATGTACACAGTAGGTGAATATACAATACTTATTTGAACTCCTGGAGCAACTGTTCCCCTCTATGGGTTATTTTGTTGTTTGTTTCATGTGCTATCCTGTTACATCGGATATCAGCCAGCGGTTTAAGCTGAAGGTCTTGCTTTAAATCCTCCTTAATGTCAGACTATGAACTTCCCCTTTAGGTATATAAATGTGATCTATAGGAACTGGTGCGTTCACGTGATGCCTGTAGTATAGAGGGTACTAAAATAGGAACTGAGTCAAGCATAAAATTCCTTGGAACACTTCTATCCCCTGATCTTTCTTGGTCATCCCGTATCTTGTCAGTTTCTAGGAAAATGTTCAGACTCACCTACTACATTAAGAAGATAATCAGGAATCACTCAGCCTCTACTTTTATTTAAGGATAAAACGGCACTGTGGTAGAGTATAACTCCGTTATGAATAGGATTTTATTTTGATATAAATTTTGGGACAAAGTCAAAATTCTAAAAAGTAATATAGGTAGGTGGAGATAAAGAGAGATTGATTAGTGAATCCTGCCTGGTTCGTCGAATAATCTACACCCAACACATGCAATAGAAGTGACTCAATGTAAATGCCAGAGATATGTATGGAAGATATTATTACCACCAGTCAAATCAGAGGATAATAAATAATGTCGAAATGTATTCAATTCAATTGACATTATAACATTCTAACAAGTAATTTATTTTACTATAAAAACATCTTATTTCCCAGCCTATTGTATTTTATTGATAACACTAGTCTTGTTATTTATGAATGCACTTTATCTTATATTGACTTGATTCAAATGTCTAATCATCAATTTTTACTCATGTATATAAATGAAGCAAGAAAGTTATGTGATTAATGCCTTGATATGATTACGAGCAGTAATAAATTGTGCTCAAAACGTGGTCATTAGTAAATATGACTGTATAACACCACTGTGTGATTTTATCAGAAAATTTTATCCATAATGTAGTTCTACTTTTACATTTTTTTAACTTTTGCATCTTCCCTGTTGCACTTTACTGCTCCTCCCCCCTTAGTCTTTCCTGTGCTACTCATAAAGGAATGTGTTATATTGCGAAGGGTATTGAGGGTTGTCAGTAGGGCAAGTGGCATGCCACTTGGTGGGCTCGTTACTACTGTAGTCAATAGACACCTGAGCTCATGTGAGAAACGCTCCAAATCCATATTGTCCGACTTTCAACAACCTCTCTATTCACACCCTCCCCTCGCATTACATCAGGTAGGACTAGAAGTCATTGTAAAATATTATATGCTCGGTCACACAATCAAGTACAAAAACTCAACGATACCTTATTTGGCCTGTCGGCATTTTGTATAATAGAGATAGTGTTAAGCGTGAAACCTACAACTTACAAAGTAGTTTGAAAAATAAATCGTTCTTTTATCCTCTCCTATTTGTAATTTATAGTGACACTATTTCAATTAACTTATAATTGAGGTATTGACATTATTGTCATTATTTTGTAGTGTTTGTACATTTCTGACTTCACTGTCACCGCAAATGCCCAAAAAGTTGCTGTTATCAATTCTGTGATATTATTTTTTGGACTTTTGTTTTTGCTATTGCCGAGTAAATTAGATTCAATAATGTACCAAATGTGGAGAATTCTACACTATATCATAAGTACTGTTTTGGAATAAAGCAGATTGTTATTATTACTATTAATAGATGCTCGCTAGTGACTTGCTACAGGATGGAGTCTCCTGAAGTCCTAGTGAGAAGTCGTGACCAATGAAGTTCATCCAGATATCAAGTGTGAGGATAGATTTCCCACGGATGACATTGGTTGGTGGTCGCGCTAAATGCATCACGAATTGGTAGCAGTTAGAATTCATGGACTGGCCATTGAGGAGTCAGACCCTAGTGGCTGACGAATGGTATACGAGCTCGCTGGTCTTGTAACTAGTAAATCTTGGGTTCGAACCCCCTGTGGTGGGTGCGTACTGCCGATGATTCCCAGACGAGGACGAAATGACTAGCTGCCCAGCACTCCCGGCCGGTTTTCAATGGTTCTCTAAGTGATATCAATCCGTGGCCAAACTCGTAAAAAAAAATCTAATCCTTACAAACCAACTCTTGGAAATTAATAGATATGTTATTAATCTTTATGCAAATAAGGTCATTGTTCTTAATGACTGACACATTTGTAAACAGGGAGGTTAACATAAAAAAGAAGCGAGTTAGTTACTGTTTAATTGATTAAGTATCATAAGTATTGCTTTGGAATAAAGCACATTACTGTTGTTATTATTATTGTAGCATATTATGGTATAGTATATTATAGTATATAGCATTCTATATTATAGCATAAAGATATTGTTAAAGTGGTTTGTTCTAAGCGCTGAGAGTGATGTTGATATTCCTGTTACAGAACAATACCTATTTTTATGTACTGAGATGTTACTGAACACCTGCCACTTGGATTTCGATGCATTTAGCAATGAGTCATATCTATCGTAATGGGATTAGTGTTACCCCCCCCCCCCTAGTTGCACGAACCTCCGTACATAGAGCAGGGTTCGGGTCTGTGGAGTTAGTAGTTGGAAGTTTTGCGCCTACACCAGTAGTGAGCAGTCACAGTTCTACCATGGCTGTGTGTATATCGTGTGTGTGTGTGTGTATGGGTGTGATAATTAAATTAAAATTTCAAACCAGAGTTAACTGTTTTATAAAGTTTTTGCTTTTTATGTTTTTTAAAGCCTTGGGAGGTGAATGCACGCAATCTAACTGATGACTTTTTAAATGCTTATGAAGATATCCTTGGAAAGTATTATCTAGATAATATGAATCGTTATTCTTATATACTCACAGTGGATGGTTCATCAACAAATGTTTATGATGACGACGATATTCGTATTGTAAGTTGGTGTTTTTTTGATGAATTATTATAATAATAATATTATTATTGTTCCCTTGAGTTCCGAATGGAACATAGGGCTTCAACAACACATCTTCACTTTGTTCTGTTTTCTGGCATCCCCTTCAGCTGGGTTCACGATTGCCTAAACTCTCTCATCTCTTCTTCACACGACCTCCTCCATGTTACCCTCGCACCGACGACCCATTCGTTGCTTCCCATTTGGATTCCACTCGAGTAATGGCTTGGCGCGCGATGTCGTTCGGCGGCCTCTTCAATTTATGCCCAATCCATCTCCATTTTCTCCTACATAGTCGATGAGTGATCGACTCTTGCCTGTTCGTTTGTTCCCAACCAGAGTTACTTGTTGCTAATTCTTTCTGGCTATTTGATTTTGAGTATGGAGCCAGAGGAGGCAGCTGTTGATGAAAATCTGCAACCTGTGACACTCAGTGCAAGTTTCCTACCCGTATAGAGGCAGTAATCGACTTCACATTTGTGTTAAACAGAATCCGAATGTTGTTGTTTATACTGTGAAGTGCAGAAGATTTCCAAACTGGTTTCAGGTTGATGAAGGCGTATGTTATATATCCGATTCTGCTTGACTTTGACATTTTCATTCATTCTACGTGTAGTTGAAACGAGGCTTCCTAAATAAGTGAAGGAATTGACCTCTTTCAAGTTTCTCCCGTTGATGGTGATTGGTGCTGGTTGTTGTTGTTGTCGCTGTTGGTTGGTTGGTTGGTCATCTTCATCACCTATGTCTTCTCTATGTTCACTCGGAGTCCTGTCTTCGCTGCTAGCCTCTTCAGCCAGTTTGTTGGTTTCCGCCTGCAAGTCTTCTAGTTTATGTGATATTAGAAATGTATTATCCACCGCGAAATCCAGATCTTCTAATGTTTTCTTCTTGCCCCCCCACCCCCCACAGTCTATCGCATAATCCAGTCCGCCAAAATTAAGAATATCATCAATGATAATGGAAAACCAATCTTGTCTTACTCTTGTATTCACTTCGAACGCCTCGCTAAGTTTCCCGTCGTGGATCACCTGACACGTTGGCAGGTATTGTCATATAGCCAACTGTTAAATGAGGCTGATAAAAACTTTTGAGGTACACCGTAGTGTTGAAGTAGTTTCCAAATTACTTCCTGGTCAACACTGCGCTGTTGAAGGCCTTTTTGAAGTCGATGAAGTTGAGGTAGAGACAGGTTCGACTGCCATTCTATGCTTTGTTCTATGAAGATGGTCGATAGTTGCTACCTTGACGTGGTGGTTAGGCTTGCACATCGCGATGCCCCAACAAGCTGCACTGGCTGGAACCAATGTTCCTGCAGGTTCTACCATGCCAGGAAGGTTGTTAGGATAGCGGTTAGACTAAAATCAGTTACCGGCATTGTGTAAGAATCTTTCTTACATTATGCTGGGGATCTGAGGGCGAAGTCGTACTTCTGGGGAAAAGGGGTGTAACAGCAGTGAGGTGTTTCCCTCAGATGACCAGCATGCCAGCTATGCTGTCACTCCACTCCGGAGAGAGGGGATTAGAAAAGGTCGACCCCAAAAATTGTACATCCGGACTTACCTTACGGTGGTCCGTAACCAGCGATAAGTTTACTAATACGGAACCAATCCCAGAAACCAATTCATACAGGCCGTGTGTGACCGGCCTCAAGCAGTTGTTCCCTGGGCTCTGCGGTCACGCAACACTTTCTGTTTCAGGTACCCGAAGAATCAATCAACTTCCATGGTGCGGGCAGCCGGGAAGTAACAACCGCCCACACACTTCCAAAAGCACACGAAGCCTTCCTGAGCATCATTCTCCTTTACTCACATCACCTTCCTCATCTTCCTTCTCTACTACAGTTAGTACTATTCTTCAGACTAGTGAGTCATCTTCACTCTGTGACCACAAACAACGCTGAGAGCCATAAAAACACCCTAGATAGTCTTTTAAGGCCACGTTGCCTACTTCATATAGGAGCATTTAACGTCAGGACCCTCTGCCAAATCGGATAACAGGCATCACGAGCCATGGATGTATGTTGTGTTTCGGAGACACGCATACAAGACCCTAGTGTGGTCATTCATTTAACCTCACCCGGTCAACGAGGTGAATCTACAAAATTCACTTTAATGGTGTCAGGAGACCACTCAACTCGCTCGCGAGGACTCGCAGGTGTAGGGAATAGCACTGAGTGTTAGGGCGGAGAAATATACTTGACTGGATTCCAGTAGATAGTTGTATGTGTGCGGTCCGTCTGAATGAGTCGGTTAAAAGTTCTTTATAACAGCAGCGTTCAATCTTTGTCTGGTTGTCAAGTTGCTATGACCTTGCATACGGGGTAGCTTGATATATACATCTTTCTCTCAATGGGGAGTTAAAGAGTGGGTCTTGGTGTTCCACTGACTACTTTATATCTCCTGATAAACATGTCTGGATAATTATTATCAACCAGAGTTTGTGTCAACGTTCTTTGTTAATCATCATCAAGTGTGTCTTCGGTGCACATTCATTGGGTTCTACTGAAGAGGCAACTCACTCACTAAGGTGGGGACTGTGATAGTTGAGATACTGTCCTATCCAGTTAGGTTTTCTATATCAATAGATCGTTTAATTGATCCGTCAGGCCGTCAACTAAGCAATATATTATTGTTATGTACTCGTCGCTGAATTATTGCTATGTACTGGTCAAGAATTTAATAGTCCTGACGCAAGAAGGCGGAAATCAGAAGATCACTAGGTTTGCGATGAATACTTCTATTTTCCAAACACAAGGAGAAGCAATAAGTGGTATCACACCAAAAATAAGTAAGTGGGTAAGTCACACAAATTGTGAGATCGAAATATATATGACAAGGGTGTGAACAATCATTAGACAGTCTTAACATGAATGGCTAATTATAATGAAGTATCGATCCATATATACATAGCGAAATATAGCAGACATGTCAACAACCACCATATATGGATATATGTCACCAAGCAACGGACTGTCAACAAACACTCATATTATATATAATATAATATAAGGAGAATATACATTGTTAAAGGAGACAAGTTCATACAAGTGAAATGGTCACAGACTAAGAGAGCAAACAGAAAGAGAGACCAACATACACACACATAAATATATATATATATGTGGATACATATCAATTATCTAGGATAGATACACAATTATCTTTGTCTTCTACAAACAGATGTAAGTGATATGCTATTCTGAACTTCATTCACCAGTCGATTTAAAATTGAAGTGGCAGAACAAGACTTATTCACTTACATGTTTACAAGGTGATTAGAGAATTAGATTATTTGAGAAGTAATTCCCCCGATGTACATACGCACACACTGACGCACACTCACAATTCAGTTCTTTTGTCTTTATATTTAGATTGCACAAAATGCTACAGAATTCGATTTGAGCGGTGATCATTTACTACGTGATAATCAAAAAATACTTCAATGGAGAAGAGGTTTAAAGTATGATCGAACTGTACGGGACTGTAGAGCTGCGTAGGTGATTTGTTTTTATTATTATTGGCATTACTATTATACTTATTTTCTTAATTGAATGCATACATTTTTCCAATAATTTAATAATTCCTATTGTGTAGCATTCAGAACACAATATTCAGCTAAGAGACTCTCTCCAACAACGAATTTATTATCAAGCTGTACAATCGTATATATATATATGGGTTCTTTTTAAGAAATTATATCCGGTGAGGGGATCAGGTCAAAGGTCTTGAAATAATAGTAGTATGAAATGCAATTAAAATGTTTGTGATTATAATCGTAGTTAAATGTCAAGTAGCAAAACAATCACTGCCATATATAGAATAATACATAAGACGGGTGTATAGATGTTGGAAGTGGGGGTGCATAATTATAGGATTAGTAGACGCATATAAAATGTTACATAACATGGTGTGTGAAATTTGATAAGATAGAATTCAATATTGTAAAAAAGAATTTGATTTAGAATGACAAGTGGGAGAAGTGGAAACAGCTCACAGTAATGAGGGAAAGTTACATAGAATAACTAAATAAACAAAATAAATAAATGTCTATCCCTCTACGGCCAAGACAGAAATAGGGATTGTACGTACTTCTTGTCTACACAAAGGTCTGGATTAAAGTCATGAATGGACAAGGCCTTAGCTGTCTTTAGAAGAAAACGCGGGAAGTTAGCATGGATTCGGTAGATGATCTTAAAATCATGGTCAGGGTTGGTATGGAGTGACGGGAGTCGGTCATGTGTTCCAGAATAGAGTTTCGCACACACTTCCTTTCTCCCTTGTAAAACCATGCTGGAATATGTTCTCATATTAGTGTGGAAAGCGTCCTCTGACAGCGGCCAATGTACCTTGCTCCACAAGAACAGGTGAACTGATAGATGCACATGGAGGCGGGAGAAAGGAAGTGTTGCATTTCATACTACTTATTATTTCAAGACCTTTGACCTGATCCCCTCACCGGATATAATTTCTTAAAAAGAACCCAAATATATATATACGATTGTACAGCTTGATAATAAATTCGTTGTTGGAGAGAGTCTCTTAGCTGAATATTGTGTTCTGAATGCCTATATATTATCTTAGTTATACTGTCACAGTTCATTACAAGTTCAACCGGTTTAATTCTGTGGAGGAAACACAACGATCATAGTATTATATTAGCCCCCCTAAGCTTTAATGCGATGAAGAAGAGGCATTAGTCATCAACCACTTGGATTTTTATTAAGGTGATGTGACACATCGGCTTAAACAATTAATTGACTTATTGGGTTCTAGGTTCGAATACCACTCTCTCTACTTATTTCTCCAGCTTGGGGAAAACTAGGTGGCGTCATCAGGCCTCACACAATATACACACACATACAGTATGTGTGTGCTTCATAACCTGGCCAACTTTGAAAAGGTCTTCGTTAGTAAAATGTCTGAGAAGTAATTTGGAAACTACTGCAATACTATAGCTTGCAATGCCTTTATCAACCTCACTGACAGCTGTATGACGACGTCACATGTCAGGTGATCCACAACTGAAAGCTCAGCAAGGCATTTGAAGTGAAGACGACAGGAGTAAGACAAGCTGACTGTCTATTATCACCAATGATATTTCTAATTGTAGTGACTTGGATTATGCGTCAGACTGTGCCCAGGGAGTCAGAAGACAGAAATACTCTGGACAGATCGATAAGAAGACTCTAGAAGAACTGGAATTCGCATGTAGATGATTTATGTTTAATTTCAAACAAACTCGAAGACTTAGAGGCAGGCGAGATGAAAAAAATTGGCTGAAGAGGCTGGTAGCGAAGCTGGGCCTTCAGACGATAAATATAGAGAACATGGAGGTGATGAATATAACCAATCAACCAACAACAGCAACAACAATAACAACAACCAGCATGAATCACTACCAATGTGAGATACTTGGAAGAAGTCGCTTCCTTCACTTATATAGGGAAGCATTTGGAGATCTCCTGCACTCAGCACAAAGAACTAGATTCAACACGAATATTAGGCTAGTCATTGCTTCTCTATGGCTCAGAAACTTGTCTACTGTGTTACGGAAAGCATTTCCACCAGCCCAACTGCAGACTTTTATCAACAGCTGCTGCCTTCTCTGGCTCCATATTGGAGATCAATTGGTCAGAAAAAAAAACCAGCAAAAAGAAATTATAACAGCAAACAAACCAAGAGTCGATTACTCAGAAAAATGCAGAGTAAAATAGAGATGAATTGGGCATAGACTGAGGAGACATAGCGCGCCAGGCCATCACTTGAGTGGAATCCGAATGGGAAACGACGAGTTTGGTGTTAGTCCAAGGGTGATCTGAAGGAGATCTTGAGAGGAGGAGATCACAGATTATGGGCAGTTGTGAAGCGAGCTAAAGAGGACTGCAGAAAATACAGCAGTCCACATGGAACATCTGTTTGGGCTTAATGGAGTACTACCACTGAATGATTGGGTGGAGTCTTGATTGGCTTTCAACACGTAACTTGGTAGTAGTAGTAGTAGTAGTAGTAGTAGTAGTTGGTTGTCGAGCGTCCAAATCAGCTAGCTACAACTCTAAGCTTTGAGGTGTAGATCATGCTATAAGGAAAGTTGGATAAACTAAGGCTGTTGGAAGTTTATATCCTTATGTGATAGAACTATAGAGATGCTAAGGTTAAGTGTATAGCACTTGACAAATAAGGATGGTCAGTCTATAGGAAGTTGTGAGTCATCATTAATGTTTGTGTCTGTGACATATTGAGTCAGTTCTCTATGTCCAACGATTAGTTTTATTGTCTACTTGAAGGTATCTATCCAGAGTAGGTCTTTCATCATCTACGGGGATATGAGCCGCCACTTTGATTGCGTAACGATTGGCGTGATACTACCCAGATATAGTTGTCCATGATGCCGTTAGACTGAACGGGATTCGAAACACAGGCCTACTGGTTAAAAGTTGAGTGATTAAGTTAATAGCCTACGTCTCCATACATATAGATAGGCATATTGACTTCTTATTCACCGTGTGTTTATTGAACTTTGATTGGTTGTTTTCTCTGTTATTAAAAAAATGCAGGTTTGATCACAAGTTGTGTCATCAGTTAGAGAACCTCATTGGAAAACCAGCATAGAGTACTGGATATCCAGCTGTTTCGTCCTAGTTTGGGACTCTTTAGCAATGCTCAGTCACTGGGGTCCGAACCCAGCACGTTCTGGTCATGAGGCGAACTCGAAGACTGTTCAGCCACTGGAACACCCCTATCCAATGACTAGACAATGAATTCCAGCTTCTTGTTCCAATTCTCGATGCATATAGCACAACCACCGGCCAATGTCTTGTCTGATTCGATGAACCCCGCTAGGTCTCAGTGTCTGTTAATAGTTTTACGAACTCGCCTCATAACCAGAAGGTTGTTGGGTTCGAACCCGACTGTGGGGTGGATGTGTACTGCTCAAGAGTCCTATCAAGCTAGGACGAAGCAGCTAGCTAGCTGTCCACTACTCTCTGCTGGCTTTCCCAATAGAGTCGTCTAATTGATTGTCACAACTCATGATCAAACTCCGTAATCAATAATCAAATCCCTGCAAACCAAGCCTAGATAAAATCGTATTAAGCATACTCTTTTCTTTTTACTTCTCTTTTTGTCCAAAAAACCAATGTCTCTACGTATCCAGTTTCTCAAATGCTTACTGGAAATTTTCAAGTGTTTTTGACAAAGTGGAACAACCTATGGATCTGTCTGAATTACAGTATAGTTATGAAGCCCAAGAAATGCAAGGCACAGCCATTCAACTGGTCAGTGCTTTTTTTTAAAGTAGTGTTACTATTACGGTTATTATTTATTCTACTATTGTCTTTGAACTATTTTATTTTGTTTACTCAGCTCCAACGGGTTGACCTCTTATGAAATCTCCGCATGGATGCAGAAGGCTAGTTTCGCATATGCCAGTTTACACCGTCTCTGGCGTAGACGTGATATCCGACTGCCGACCAAATGGCGAATGTACTGCTGAGCAGTCCGCTCCGTCCTCCTTCATGGCTGTGAGACCTGACCATTGAGAGAGTAGAAGACATGGAAAGACTGACTAACTGTCTTTGATCATAGGTGCCTGTGCTCCCGTGTTAGGTGGTATAATAAGGTGAGCAGTATTGAGGTTAGGCGTTGGTCGAGTGCCAACGGGGGGGGCTGGTGCCCCCCTAACCCGGTCCGACCTGGGTTCAAGGAAGCCGCCTCTGGGGGAACCTCAACCATGAGCGGAAGGTTGTTTCGGCCCTAAAAGACATGGCAGGCTCCCTGTGTAAGAAAAAGCGGGCAATCCAATATAATCCGGTTACGCCCGCGAAGTAAAGTAAGTAGTAAGTGCTAGGTAAGGAGGGAAAATCAATCGATGAGGCTGTGAAATTACATCGACTGAGATGGTTAGGACATGTGTTACGTATGCCTAGTCATCGCCCACCTCGACAACCAGCAATGTTAGCTGACATAGGGTCAGGCTGGAAAAGAGCTAGCGGCGGTCAATCCAAAACATGGCTTCATCAGTCAATGAAATCTACAACAGTTAGTTTGAGTCACGTAAGAAGGTGTACACTGTGTGACTGGTTGGGGTGTTCGGGACGGTAAAAACCAATGACTGGAAACAATTGGTGATGTGGCTCAAAATCGTTCTCAATGGCTGGCGCAGATGCGTCCATTCCTTGTGACTTATGATTTTCAATGAAACTATATTGTTCTTCGTTATTACTATTCCTTTGTCTCACACCTCTGTTTACTGTCTCCATTATGCATTTCTTCTACTTTGTTCTCTTGGTTTGTGTGCTACGTGGAGGGAGTGTGGCGACTTGAACTGGTGCACATCGGTGGAAAGTTCTATGTTGAAAACAGACAGGCAGACAGACATTTTGTTCACTTACTGCAATAATATGATGCATATTTTGCCCGCGAATCAGAATTTTCAAATATGAACGTATAGTGAAATGAAGATCTAATCACCAGTTGTGGATATCACGTTACCCCAAGTGTTGGTTTGGTGATAGAGTACTGGAGGTCAACGGTTCAAATCCTATTGTGACCTATATTTTCGTTTCATCGTCAATCATTACCCATTGGCTAACTGAATAACTGACTGGGAGGTTTCAACGTAAGAACTCTGCAGAGATGTGCAGCAGTTCGAGTTGCCACATTCCCCTCCCACATGTAGCATACAAGGCAAGAGAAGAGAGTGAATGCATTTAAACCAGCCATTGAGAAGGATTTTCAGCCATGTCTTCGATTGTTTCCAGTCGTCATTGGTTTTCGCCATCCCAAGGACTACAACCAACCCCAGTCAAGAAATCTGCACCTCCCTACCTGGCTGGTTAGCTGGTTTAAACGAATTGTTATTGATTTCATTGACTAATGAAGTCATGTTTTGGTTTGACTACCAACCACTGGCTTTTTCTAAACAACCTGATCCATCCTATATCAGCTAATATTCCGTTTCGAAGAAGATGGCTAGACAAGGCGTGCGTAACACATGTCCTAACCATCTCTCTCAGTCGGTGTAACTTCACAACCCTTCTTTACCTAGCACTTGATCGAAACCTAACTTCAATATTACCCCCACCCTATTATACCACCGAACACAGGCGATAGAACGCAGACACCTATGATGAAAGACAGCTAGCTAGCTATCCTTTTCATGTGTTCCACTTTCAATGGTCATTTCTCGCTCACTGCCACAAAGGAGGAGGACGAACCAACCTGATGAGTAGGACACACGTTCTTTGGTCTATAGCACCCCACTATAGTCAGCTAAAGTCTACCAACTAAAGACTAACTCGGATTGTCTTCCTAATTCGAATTCCAAGTCAATAAAAAAATGGTCAATACAGATGTCATGAAGATGGTTACCAGGAGACGCAATTCTATCTTTCATGGAAAATTTAAATCAGTTCACTTTATGCTAAACCCTGCGCTGAAAAGGGATATTGTCCAGCAGGGAGGGGAGGGACGACAGAAGCTCTGCAACTGAACCAACCAACCAACCAGCTCAGAGAACACTACTAATTGCAAAGATCACTAACCAACCTTAAGTATATTGCCGCTGTTCTCCCTTCAACCAAAAAAGGGGAGGTGAAGCTTACGGGCAGAAAATCAAAATTTCTTGTTTAAATTATTTATAAACTTATTTTAGCTTTTAATATTCGGAGATCGTGTTAATTTTCTTTTCGCTCTTTTTTTTTTACAGGATCCACGTACCAGTTTTGTACCAGAGTTCAATCCCAAGTATAAGAGTTTAATGTCAATTCTGTTCAATCCATGGATTCGTGCACGAAATTTTAGATCTGATCTGCCTAAGAACTACATATGGAGATAAATTGCCTTCTCGCCATCATCGTCAAAATGGATGGATGAATTAAAAAGTAGAGATATGAGCGGCCAGAGTTATTACGATGCGTCATCAGCTCATTGAAAGACAACCTCTTTACCAATTCCTCTTCTTCCTGTTCCTCTTCACCGTCGCCTTCTCCTTTTACCTTCTTGTCCTTCTTGATGAATTCAGTAAATAAGATGGATTGATTACCTAGCTAGAGACAAAGTGTACTCTTATTCTCTCTCTCGCTCTTGATCGATTAGTAACACTTTCTGATGTGAAAATGCTCATTGTGTGCGCGTGCGTGCACACGTGTGTTTGTATAGATGTTACTTTTTCAATCCTGTTCTAGTTGAGGTGTTTTAACTGGGTTTTTTTCGGATTGGATCAGTTTGTTGTATTGTGTACATCTGCGTAGAATTTTTTCTAGTTATTTTATGCTACTTATTAGTAGGATGATATTATAAACATGAATTTTTTGTCTGGTACTAGTTTTCCTTAATATTATTTAAAACAATTAATTCCCTTTATGAATTTAGGTAGACAAAGCAATAAGAAGACGTAATTTGTCTGAATCGTGTAATGTGAATCTGCGCACAACACATTGCGAACAATCTGATCACACACACACGGAATTGTCATTGGACTGTATATTAATGAAATGAATAGAGTTAAGAGGTGAGAAAATAAACTACTTAGGTTAAGTTAAAAGAACATATTGTAGGTCGAAATAACAATGAAGATCACTAAATCAAATAACAGAGGTAATAGTACATCTCTCCTGGCTAGTATCAAAACAAAGAAATTTACCAAGGAAGATTTAGTTTGACGACGAATTCTTTTCGGACGCATGAAGGTGGTTTAAACTTCCTAATTGCAAATAGAGGAGCTATGTTGTCATCTGTTTTCACCATTAATAGGTTTTGAGGATTCTGTTTGCTTCTGAAGTCAGCTCTTACTTGGAGAGATCGATGAGTCCTCCTTATGTATGTGTCCCTACGTACATTCAAATTGGTAAATACAGTGAGATGTGACATCATTTTTCGCATGTTCAAAGGGCTTAGATAGATGGATATATCGGCTTCACATTCTCAATTATAATGATCTATGCTGCATAAAACGTCTAGTTGTCAAGCTGCTATGTTCCGCCATATGGGGTAGCTTGATGTGCACGTCTTTCTTAGGGGTGAGTTGGAGAATGGATCTTGGTGTTCTAACTACTTTATATCTCCTGATGAACATGTCTGGACAGTTATTATCAACCAGAGTTTGTCAATTTTCTTTCTTCATTATCGTCAAGTGTGTCTTTGGTGCACGTCCTTTGGATTCTACAGAAGAGGCACCTCACTCACTAAGGCTGTTTTGTACCGAACAAGGCGAGGACTTTGATAATTGAGATACTGTCCTATCCAGGTAGGTTCCCTATATCAATAGATCGATTTATTGATCCATCAGGCAGTCTTCTAAGCAATATATTATCTAGGAAAGATAAACACTTATCTTCCTCTTCTACAGACAGACGTAAGTGATATGCTATTCTGAACTTCATTCATCATTCGATTTGAAATTGAAGTGGCAGAATAAGGCTTATCACTTATGATTACAATATTACCTACATACCTTCTATATAGTGGCACGTTTTCAGTTAAATCCTCTGACAAACTCTCGATGCTCGACGTAGAGATATCTACTAAAAGGGGCCCGAACGGACTTCCCATAGCAACACCACCAAACTGGCGAAAACAATCGCCTTCAAATGTAAACCTAATATTGCTAGCACATAGAATTTATAAATCCCTTAATTAAGATATAGGGAACCGAGTGAAAATATTGAAAATTAAAGCAGTTAATACCTTTGATAAATTTGTATAAGGCGTTAAGAAGACAAATTTCGCAGGATGATATCATCATTTCGTAGTTTCTTTACAACTAACATGGTCGGTTCAAAATAATAAAATGCATGACAATTACTCAGTTATATAAAACAAATGTATATACTAATGACCAATCATATTCAAATAGGTCAAGTATACTCGCCATGGTAGGCGAAGGTTGAAGTCTATTTTTTCCGCCACCTTTAATAACCAACCTTGAATTAGAGTTACATGAAGGATGACCGTCGGTTGTATAGTGGTTAGGACAGTCGCCAACGGTGCTCATGGTCCGGATTTCGATCCCCAGCCAGCCTACACCTAATATCACTTGATCGGACTGCATAATTTGGGCTACCGTTATCATATGCTGAAAAGTGTCATACTTGTACCAATAATACGGTGTGGAATCAAGCTGTAATCAAAAATAAAATAAAAAAGTGTCACTCTTGCATTGAAGGCCCACTCATCGTTTCCCACTGAGATTCGACTCAAGCGATGGCCTGCACTGAGCACGGTGTCACTCGACGGCTTGCTCAATGTATGCCCGATCAGCCCATCTCCATTTTCCCCTACATATTTATTGAGCAATCGGCTCCTGCCTGTTGGTTTGTTCCCAGCCAGGCAGAGTTTCTTCTTGCGAATTCTTTCTTTCTGGTCATTTGATCTTCAGTGTGGAGCCAGCCAGTGAAGTGGGCAGTTGATGATGAAAGTCTGCTACTCTATCTTTTATCTAAACCTCCTGTCCATTTTGTTATTGCTACATTTTTAACCACCAATTGCACAACAGGTCGAGTTCTTCAGTAATTGTCATCCTACAATGTTTGTTTTTTGTCCGATCTTTCAGTTTATTACGCTTTGTAATTTTATTGATTCGACCCTTGACCGGAAATAGTTCTGCGACTTTCTTTCTCATCCATTTGCTACAAATATGTATACACGAATGCATGACCTAGCTGGTAGCTTCATTGAGAAGATAATTTTCCTCACAGATGTCAATCATCTTTCTTTTGTAATTCCCATGATTTAATATGTGTACTCTGTGATTTAAAAATTGTCACAACTTATCCTTTCTGTAGTTGGAACATTAACTTAGTGTAGACGGTTCTAAAGGAGATGTTTTTAGCGCCATTGTAAGGTACAAAAGACCGATGCGGCTCGAAGGAATGTTTAATAGGACAAACTCATTGTAGGTACATACATTTGGTATACCATATCTGAACACCTTGAGCTGCAATCTACGAATGTTTGGCATGCGATTCGCTCCCTCCAAATGCAAGATGATGTTACAGGACTGGACCACACTGACTCCTAGTTTAGAAATAGGGAGTGAAGTGGTAGACCACGTTGACCGCTTCACTTATTTGGAAAGTACCATCAACCAACGCCAACGGGTTGGGCTCTGATGAAATCTCTGCGCGGATACAGAGGGCTAGTTTCGCATATGCTAGTTTACGCCGTCTCTGGCGTGGACGTGATATCCTGCTGGCTATCGACCAAAGGGTGCATGTACTGCTCATCAGTCCGCTCAGTCCTCCTTTATGGCTAGCTGTGAGCCAGACCTAGCCATTGGGAGTGGAAGGCATGAAAAGATTAGCTGTCTTCGATCATAGGTGCCTGCGTTCTATCTCCCGTGTGAAGTGGTATAATAAGGTGAGCAATATTGAGGATAGGAGTAGGTCGAGTGCTAGATAGGTGGGAGGGGAAATCAATCGACGAGGCTGTGATGTTACATCGACTGAGATGGCCAGGACATGTGTTACGTACGTGTAGTCAGTCATCGCCTTCCTCGACAATGGGCAATGTTAGGTAACATAGGGTCAGGCTGGAAAAGAGCTAGCGGCCGTCAAATCAAAACATTGCACCAGTCAATGAAATCCACAACAGACTTCCTGACTGGTTGGGGTCCTGGGGACGGTGAAAACCAATGACTGGAAACAATTGGTGATGTGGCTCAAAATCGTTCTCGATGATGGCTGGCGCAGATGCATCCACTCCTTGTGACTTATGATTTCCAATGAAACTGTTTTGTTCTTCGTTCTTACTATTCCTTTGTCTCACACCTCTGTTAACTGTCTCCATTATGCATTTCTTCTACTTTGTTCTCTTGGTTTGTGTGCTACGTGGAGGGAGTGTGGTGACTTGAACTGCTGCAGATTGGTGCAAAGTTCTATGTCGAAAACAGACATACCATATCTCCAATGCTTTATTTGGACGTCATTTGCAAAGTGGTCGAATATCATCCACCGCATTCGATAACTTGTTGGATGATTCTGCACAGTGCTTTTAACGTTCCTCTCACAGTTTACTTCCTTGACTACCTTTTCCAGTGCCCCCCCAAAACGTGTTGCAACTTTTGTGAATTCGTTTACTGATATACTAGTTACATCTGATTATAAGTAGCACTTACCACACCATAAGTGCTGGATATATTAGTCAATCAAAAACATTTACGCCCTGTACCCCTTAACTCACAACTGATCACTTGTATTTTGGGTTTTGGTGAGTATTCTGATTACTTCCAATGCAGATTTATTCACGAATCGATATTAGTTAAGGTATCATTGAAACCCGAAAAGGGCTAAACAACTGTGCAATGCCGGTTTTGAAGTCTTGATTAGTGTACATGTAAGTGAGATGTCACTAGGGTCAGAACCCATGACATTTGGGTTACAAGGACAACCCATTGACTATTTTTACCAATAGGTTGGAATCTCATAACCTGTGAAATCTAAATGATATAAGTTTGCGACATAGTGTCACTGCTTAGTAGTGCTATCGATGAGCATCTGCCTTACTCTGACATGGTGGACATCGTCATCTACGACTTCATGACATTTATCCAGTAGCCCCAGCTATAAGGTCCAGTCACAATAATTCTGAATATCATTGTGTCATTGGCCAGCATAGATTTCGTCTATAACTGAACTTCCCCAATCAACATTGCATTTGAAATCATAAAAATCTATCCTTTCAGAAATTCGGACATAAACATAATGTAGACGTCGGTGGCATAGTGGTTAGGACGCTCACCGACCATGCACATGGTTCGGCTGACACACCTCTACCTCGCTAAGCCAGGAATAATGCTGGTAAAGAGGAAAGGTTGGGCATGAGGCTGGCTAACAACCCCATCCTGTAAAATAAACATTTGTTTTGTCTTACCTTAATCCCTTAAATGAGTGTTTGTTGACAGTCCGTTGCTTGGTGACATATATCCATATATGGTGGTTGTTGACATGTCTGCTATATTCGCTATGTATATTTGGATCAACACTTCATTATAATTAGCCATCCATGTTAAGACTGTCTAATGATTTATTCCCACGCTTTGTCTGGAACATTCATATATATTTCGCATTCACAATCTTGTGACTTTACTTTTACAACTACTTTACTTACTTACCACTTTGGTGTGAGACCATTTATTTTCGTCTCCTTGTGTTTGGAATAGAAGTATCATCGCAAACCTAGTGGTCTTCTGATTTCCGCCTTCTCGCGTCAGGACTATTAGTTTCTCGACCAGTCCATAACAATAATTTAGCGACGAGTACATAACATAAACACTGCTACAGAAACTCCAAGCCACTAGCTTGAAGCCCTATGTTCCACTGGGGAACGTGAAGGAAACAAAGAAAGAAGGTTTAAAAGGAGGTATTGTGGACGCCATAAGTGTCTGATGTACTGGCCAATCATGCCCTATACCTCTAACGCAGCAATGATCACTTGTATCTTGGGTTTTGTTGGTACTTTTGTAACAACAGAAGGCAAGACACGGAATCCAAAGTATATTTTTTCATTAATCAAACCGCTGTTTATATATCTACAGTTTATATTCGTCAACCAATCACTGAGCGTGTGATTTCGGTTCATATCAAACAACATGAAATAGAATGTTCAAATACATACATAGTATTCTTTTGTTAATGCAGTATATAACCTTGAGAAATGTATTCTATCTCTAACATCAAAAAGAATGTTCAAATAGATATACCGTATTTTGTTGCTAATGCCGAGTCGAACCGTGGGAATGTGTGAGAATGTTACTCCGAGGGCACATATTGTCTGTATCACACCACCACAATTTTATTAATTTCCCTCTTCGTTTCGTCACGAATCAAAATCATTTAGGGAATTACGGAAAAAATGGTTACTGAACAAAGAATATTCACATTTTCGATAACTTCATCATCAGGCTCTACAGCTTTATATACATAATAGTAGTGAATGAATCGTTGTTATGACCAACATTAATGTTTAAATAACCGCAAATCAATAATATCAATAGATGACAGTTCAGTAGCATCAACATAAAAATAAACTGAATGTCAGAAAAATTAGGAAAGATAATATTACAAATGCATGAATTTATAGTCTCCACTGAAAACTGGCCAGGGCAGAAGTAGTGGCTGACTGGACTTGCTTCTTTTGTACACAGAGCACTGATTGTTTGAGGCGATTAGCAATAGCCTCTGCTGTTTGGTGTATGTGGTGCTTCGATGTGTTTTGGCAATTTATTTGGCACCCAGTAGGTGATGATAGAGAAGGATTCTTCCACGCTGAGAAAACAAATAATATCACTAATTTTTTTCATTTATACGGACTTATTATTAGTGATATTATTTCTTTTTCTCAATATATGCCTCCACCTGTTTCATTTCACATATTCGTTATTTCACTATGAACAACCTCTCATTGCAGTCTTACTATATCCCCCTCTTTCTTACAGACCACTTTGTACTAGCCACTCCAGGCAACTGACACCTTTTATAACCTTGAACTGACTTGTCACTTGTTTTCCTACCCCACACTCTACAAATCTATTATGACGACTAATCACCATCGTCTCCAGTTTTACAATATTTTGTAATCGATTTCAGTCCAGAGCACGTTTGTCACACAAATATGACTATTTATTTTGACACCCTGTGATAATTAATCTGTTATTCTACGTTAAAAATGTATCCACTGCATAACTGGCCATCATTATGGTAACGACCACAAATATTATATTGTCGGAACCTGAAGAGGAAAAGTTATTGAAAAGAATATTCTTCGTTCAGATTGACTTTTAATTCATTATTATTATTGCTCCCTTGGGTTCCTAGTGGAACATAGGGCGGCTTCAACTGCACATCTCCATTTTCTTCTGTCTTCTGCTGTACTTTTCGCCTGCATCCATGTTAGTCCATATTCTTTCAACTCCTCTTCACACGATCTCCTCCATGTCACCCTTGGACGTCCCACACGCCGCTTCCCTTTCGGCTTTGTTCCACTCGAGGGCTTGACGCACGATGTCACCCAGCGATCTCCTCAGCGATTGTCCGGTCCATCTCCACTTTCTCCTGAATATTTTTTGGCGATTGGTTCTTGCTTTGTTTGTTCCCATAATTCCTTGTTGGTGATTCTTTCCGGCCCGGCCATCTGATCTTCAGTAGAGAGCGAAGACAGCTGTTAATAAAGGTCTGCAACTTTTTGGAAATATTCTTTGTGACCCGCCAAGTTTCTGATCCGTATAGAAGAACTGACTTTACGTTTGTATTGAAAATCCGAATATTTTTTTTGATTTACAGCTTGATTCCACACTATATTTTTGGTACAAGTATGGCATTTTCAGCATGTGATATCGGTAGCCCAAATTTTGCAGGCCGACCATAGATATCAGGTGTGCGTCGGTGCGGGCTCGAACCCTGGACCATGTGCATGGTCGGCGAGAGTCCTAACCACTGTGCCACCGACGCACAGTTGAGTGACGAAGATTTCCAGATTGATTTCAGGTTGATGAATGTGTTTCTCGCCTTCCCGATCCTCGCTCGATTTGACATCCCCATCCGTTCCGACTTCCTGTAGTTGAGACAATGCTCCCTAGATAAGTGAATGAAGTAACCTCTTTCAAATCCCTCCCGTTGATGGTGATTGACGTTGGATGTTGTTGCTGTTGTTTGTTGGTTATTTTCATAACCTCCGTCTTGTCTATGTTCACTTGGAGTCCTGTCTTCACTGTCTGCTTCTTCGACCAGTTTGTCGGTCTTCGCTTGTAAGTCTTCGATTTTGTGACAGTGACGTCAAACATAAATCATCCGCGAAATCCAGATCTTCTAGGTCCTTCACGTCGGTCCAGGATATTCCTGTCTTCTCGTTTCCCACTGTCTGACGCATAATCCAGTCCACTACAATTAGGAATATCATTGGTGATAATAAGCACCCTTGTCTGACTCCTGTGTTTACACCAAACGCCTTGCTGAGTTTTCCGTTTTGGATCACTTGACATGTTACGTTGTCGTACAGCTGTTGAATAAGGTTGATGAGTATTTGGGGTACGCCATAGTACTCGAGTGGTTTCCAAATTACTTCACGGTCAACGCTGTCGAAGGCCTTCTCAAAGTCTATAAAGTTGAGGGAGAGGTTTGATCGCCATTCCATGCTTTGTTCGATGATGATGCGTAGAGGTCATTTAAATTCATAATATGTGAATATTTCACACTATAAAAACTATGGTTCTTTCCAAGATGATTGGTGCGTTTCCGTCCCTTGGGAATCTAAAGTTTAAATTTGCTGTAAAGATTATTATTATTATCATCAAAATTACTATTCAAAAGTAATGTTTGTTTTAGGTAAACGGAAGACATTTATATCTTTATTTAAATAAAATAAATAAATATTTATTTATATGTTTCGAAACTTGAAAAAGAAAAAAAATATTTAACAAGAAAAAATTATTTGTCTCTGTTCTTTCAAACAGTCATTCATGTAGAGATGACATTTGAATTGACCGCCTTTCCTTTATTTATTGATTTATTTATCTGTTAAATGTTCAATTAACTTTTTGAATCAACTTTTCGAAATCCATGAATTCTGCATAACTCATTTGAAATCTGATAGAAACTGAAAATTCTTCGAGAGATACGATAAAAAAGTTTCCAGTGATTTGTGGTTATCACACCTTGTGGATGATGATGTTGTTGTTGTTTGTTGTCTTGACAACTGATTTTATTGATTACATGTTTCATAAGTACCATGTGAATAGTACATTTTAACATTTCAAATGATTTCGTATATGATTCATTGTTCAATAGACCTATTAGAAAAAACAGAATAAAACGATAATCGATCTTCCAGCTTTATAATAGTAACAGTTATAATATTAATAGCTTTATTCTGAACACTGTTCATTTAATAGTACAGAATTTTCAGCGGAATTTATTACATGACATGTTCTCTTCCTCCACGATCTTCAAATAAAATATTTCATTGACAATAGATCGATCGTGTCACACAGTTTTTTTTTACTGATCTGAAGAGCAAACCGATCCATCATCATGATATCTCTTCACTTCCTCCTTCGAGAAATACACAACGACACTTTGTTGATGAATGCCAATCATACAAAATTAAGAAGTCCATTTCGCCAACCAAGGACACCACTGAAGAACAATCATCTCATGTATTGCGTTCGATAAGCTGTCATCGAGGAGAATGTTTCATCTCATGTTTAGTAGAGATTTTGCGAACGTGCTGATTGTAAATGTCTTAAATACTCGTCAGAGTAAATGACACTGCTAGAGGTGATAATATGTCACATTTAAACAAACTGAATAGGAGAAATTAAATGCAATACTCAGTGATGGAGGCTTTTTTGGTAGCCCAAGTTTTAAGCAGGCCGCTACTGCCAACCACTGCTTTAAGTTAAGCAGAGTTATTTTTAATCAATTCCCGTTGTAAAATAATAATAATACTAGCTAAATCCGTTATTTTTTAATTTTTATTTTTGATTACAGATTGATTCCACACTGTATTTTTAGTACAAGTATGTGATATCGGTAGCCCGAAATTTGCAGGCCAGCCACTGATATCAGGTGTACGTCGGCAGGGGATAGAACCTCGGACCATGTGTATAGTCGGCGAGAATCCCAACCACTGTACCACCGACTCACAAAGATATGAATCAATAGCCCTCTCAACGCATAATTAAACCAAAAATCAGAGTAGATTACATTGATGACACATTTGTAATAATTAAAAGAAATGATTGGGAATATACTCACAAATAAATAAACAACATAATTTGAAGATATTAAATTCACAAGAGTAGAAGAAGAAGCATAACATAACAAAATTTCAATCTTAGATGTCTCACTTAATCAAGAGAACTAACACAGGAAATTTACAAACACAAGTATGCAGAAAAACAACGCATACGCACAGACCAAATATTCAACTATAAAATTTATAACCCAATCCACTTACATTGTTTAAAATAATTTTAGATTTTCCCGTCAATTGATTGGACCGAAGTGCTCGGTGGTCTCAGGTTGACATGTCGGCTTCTTGTGCAGATGCTTCAACAATGCCTGGGCATGTAATTAGAGGTTAATTGGTAGTGATGACTAGCAGTGGAATTCAGGATGCGCATTTCGTCCTATTTGGGACACATCATCTGAATGTACGTTCATTCCACTGTGAGTGATTATGCGCCCACCGAGGCTAGAACCCCAGTGCCCATGGTTTCCAATGCCAAAGCACTATCCACTAGACCACGAGAGCCACATCTTGTATTATTATTTTAGATTTTCCATCGAAATGCGCATCCTGGATTCCACTGCTAGTCATCACCTACCAATTAACTTCTAATTGTTTAAAAGAGTTGAGACACAGTTTAACACTACTTCGATGTTGAAGACAATTGAGGAAAAATACCTACTGACTGTCTTCAAAAAGAGGAATGGATATCCTTACTACAATTTCATCAAAAAGTGTTTAACCTTAGATAAGAATATACCAACAAGAAACTATCATCAAAGACCACACGAAAATTCATCCTACCATATGTAATAAATATCTCTGAAATGACGCTTAGAATACCAAGACCATTTGAAACAGATATAGCACACAGGCTAGCACAATCACTTGATTCGATATTGTGCAGACCAATAAACTCAACAGCAACAAATTTGCTAAAGGAATTTTGTCAGACTGACAGGAAACGATCTCACTAAATGACTAGTCTAATCATACTATCCAGTTGATTAGGCGAAAATAAGTGAAATGGGATTCGAATATGTAACTAACTGACTGGAAATGGACTAGTGAGAAGCCAATGAGTCACATGTTTACCCGAAGATAAGCAGTCAATCTAGGCAAATTCAAACCTTGTAGAGAGTTTATCACTAATGAAGCTTTGAAATATAATTCAAAGTCATTCTCATTTCAAAAAGACCTTGTCCTAACTTGTTTGATGAAGTCTAACAGTAGAATCAACAACGTGTAGTTCATTTTCTTCACTTGATGATCGCCACCGTGTGATATGAATGTCAAACTTGCATCAGAATGTCACCATGGGTCTAGAGGTGCTTGGTGAAATGAATAAGTGTGCACAACTATATATGCAGACTTCTTCACGTTTAATCAATTAATGATAAAGATGATTAGTCCTCAGGTGAACCCTACACAATATAACCATCCCACCTACTATCCAATGTACACTGTAAATAAAAACAAACTTCACGGAATCAAAATTATTGATTCAACTCTTTAAATAAGAGCGGCATTAAGAAGACAAGTATCTTGAGATGATTTTATCATTCCGTAGTTTCTCTATAATCACTTTGCAAGTTTTGATCACGGACTGATATCAATTTGGGAACCACTGAAAAGCAGCACTGGAGAGCCGGCTGTTTCGTCCTACTTTGAGACTCTTCAGTAATACTCATACACCTCCGGCGTTCGAACCCAGGACTTTCCATTCACAAGGTGAGATGGTAGACGATCCATCCACCGGGGCCTGATCCAATGCTCAGTCTATGAATCCCAACTTCAATCAATTCATGATATAACGCAACTAGCACTAGTGAATGTAATCAGAGGCGATAATGTGTCCTTACACCCGACCTGCTCTAAGTGAAAAAGTCCATGGTAGGCAAAGGCTGAAGTCTATTGTCTTCTGTACACATTTCTTCTGGACACATGTGATTTATCCCCAAAATGATTCTTCCGTCAGCTTTAATAACCTCGACTTAAAGTTTCACTGTAAAATATTAATTGAGAAACAACTATTAATGTTGATTTTGTGACGTGACATTCATTACTGTCTTGCAATATATGCTGCTGGATTTCTATTCAGGTTAATTATATCTGGATTTCCTATATGACCTAATAATCACGTAGGAACATGTTCTTTCCGTCGATATCGGAACATTCTGTTGGTTCCACTTATATATGTGTCACTATAACTCCAGGTGAACTTTTACAAACAGTTTGAAGTACAGTGCACATAATTCCATTCTTTAATAATAAGTACAAGAATTGAAAATGTTCCAGATGTCAGGAAAAGAGATGCCGGCTAGAATGTGTATCTGGCAGAAGCAAGCGTCTGAGCTGTCGATTGCATGATTTGGTCACCCTTGAGTGGTAATTTAAATTAAAGATAGTTTTGTTTTTTGCTACGGGATCTGTCTTTTAGAGGGGTAGTCTCGCCTTACTGTGACATACGATGAAGTTTTCAAGAGAACCATTAGCCAATGAAACTTAATGTATGCGTCTTAGCTCATCTGTGAACGTGTCATTCGGGAAAATTTTACGGGCCCTCAAAAATTTACTAAAGAGGTTTAATGTTTGAATTCCCTTATTGATGTTTATTATATATGAGCTCTTTTGAACACATACCTTGATATTACCATTATTTTATTATAGTTGTTCCCTTAGATTCTGAGTGGAACAGACGGCTTCAACAGCGTGCCTCCGTTTTATCCTATTTTCTGTAGTTCTCGTCAACTGGCACCACAATCGCCAATAATCTCGCCAGTTCCAAGCGTGGAGAAGGAAGGAGGATTGGGCGTGAAGCAGCTAACAACCCTACTCCATAAAATCAAATTCCTACGGAAGCTTCAACTCACAAGAAAAATATTGAAAAAGCATTTATTTTTCCCTGGAATCGGAGAGACAAAATCACACCGCGGGCTAGTGAAAGCCAACCTTCAGGTAGCCGGTCAGTCATTCAGCGGATGCCAGTCTTCTTTCGATGAAACCAAAATTAAAGATGGGGAGGTGGAATGTTCATATACTGTACGAATTTGGGAAGGTTGTCCTGGTAGGCAACCAAAGAAATGAGAAAATACGGCATGGAAGTACTAGGAATCTGAGAGATTTGGCTGGTGGAATGGAGGTGGACTGTCCGAATTGTCAGCTGGACAGCCAGTAATCAGTATTACCATCACTTATTTTATTGGTGGCTGACAGTGATGCCACATCTATAATAGCCTATTGGATTACGCTTTTGACGCTTAAAACAGTGATGGGTACTGGGTACAATTCTCACTGAGAAAGTGTCAATTACTTTCTGACGTTTGCTATTCTTTCTTTTGTGTTGAAATTTATGCTACTTACCATTAGTAAGTAGTATGCATTTTATTTACTACTTTTTGTGTGCTAATAAAATTTAACTCACTTAAAGTATTACTAAACTAATCAATGTGTATTAAGTATTTTCTTACAGATGAACATTATATGCAGTATATGCTTTATCTATGTATCATTTACTGTTGAATATTCTTTGTTCGTATCCCTTTATTCTGTGTCTGTCACTCGCGCGCTGTTTGAATACACATACTCATAGATGGCCGTTGACACAGCTTTTCTGTTTGTTTTTTCTTATGGACTCACATTAACTGCGCTTGTGATGGCATTCAGCCACAGAGACTTCACATTTTAAGGTTTGTACATTATATTCCATCGTTTTATGGATAATATAATGTCATATTGTAGACAGATCCTGTGTTTTTAGATTTTACGCATCACTCATTCACTCACTCTACTTGGGGTTTGAATTATCCTCTCAAATTACTTTTGCAAAAAATTCACAAACAATATTCACTCATTTGGAGGCAAATGTGTCCAGGTGACGAGTATCAGATACGACAAAACGCCTAGAATTAATTTGTGAGGCATAATAATAATAATGTTACAACACGTAAAACGCGCCCAATAATACCAACAGCGGAAGCCGAACTACCAGGGGACATCAACCCTCCGATGAAGACAGAAATCCCGAAGGCAATCAAGATGCTAAGAACTGGGTAAGCAGCAGTACCAGACGAAATCCCAGCAGAAGCATTGTAAATGGACCCAGAGACATCAGCGGGCTTGATGACACCACTACTGTAGAAGGTGTGGAAAGATTGCAAGGTACCTGCTGACTGGAAGAAAGACTACTTATTCAAATTGCCAAAGAAAGAGACTTAAGTCAATGCTAGAACTGGCGCGGAATTATGCTCCTGTCCATCCCAAGCAAAATACTAAGCCGCATCATCCTGGAGAGAATCAAACACGCCGATGTAGATGAAAGGCTTCGACCGGAACAGGCTGGATTCAGGTGAAACAAGTCATGCATCGATCAAATCGCAACACTATGGATCACTAATGAACAGAGCTTGGATTGGCAATCAGCTCTCTATCTCAACTTCATTGACACAATGGAGACGTGCGGCTGAAGCCCTATTTTCCTCTAGGAATTAAAGGAAACAATCAAATTTATCCTGCCTGTGGCTGGCCGAGTAAGAGGCCATCGTTTTGCGTCGGTGGCACGATGGTTAAGACTCTCGCTGACCATGCACATGGTCCGGGGTTTGAGCCTCTACCAACGCACACCTGATATCCATTGTCGGCCTTCAAAATTTGGGCTACCGAAATCACATGCTGAAAATTCCTTGCCTATACGAAAAAATGCGGTGTGGAATCAAGCTGTTTATAAAGTCACACACAGTGGTGTTATACAGTTAGTAATATTTACTGATGATAACCACGTTTCGAGCACAATTTACCGCCGCTCATCGTCATCATATCAAGGCATTACTCACACTGTGTGATTCTATCAAAATAAATTGTATCCAATAATGGAACTGTATTCCACCACAATGAGTGCCCAAGTTTTATCCTTATCATCAACAAGGTGACCTTCACCATTGGTTGTGTCTATCTCAAAATAAATATGTTTCATAAGTATTTCTTTAAAATGTATTGATTACCGCATAAATCAAATTATCTTACCAGAATCTAGTAGAACTAAAGTCTTCATACATGCCAATTCAAAGGTATCAAAGTTATTTCTTTTTAAATTATTTACTAATGTAAATAATCGATAAGTTATTGAATTATTATTATTGTTGAATTGATTATGTCCATCATTTGTATGGATGATGTGATTCTGTCCATCACTAGAATGTGTATTCACCATTTGACTTATTGACTGATTATCGATCAATTGATTTCTTGTATAATAGGCAAAGGATTCATTATATTTATAATATTTAAAATTATTATAATGATTAACATTGTAGAGGATTGATTCAATCTCTTTGACAATTTCATTATCTTGGCTATTTGTCCAATTGATTAGAATCTATTTTTTTAGAATGATAGCCAGAAAGAAATCAAAAAGAAACAAAAAAGAAACTTGAAAATGAAACACAAATCAATAAAAAAGTGAGAGAAAATCGATACTTTTAAAGACATCAATAACTATACAGTGATAAAAACTTAAAAATCTATATAGATAGGTTAAAGAGAACAGTTTTTAACATTTATTTGGTTGGCTGTAGTGCTATTTGTCACGAGAAGACAGAATGAGAATTCATCGATTATTGAGTCTTATCTAGGGTGGCTGAATATGGCATGCACTCACCTAATCACCTGAAGGTATTAGCTGCAATATTGGTGCAGGCTACTGAGGACTCTCATTTTCGGACGAAACAATCATCCGCATAATCCTTGATTTCCTAAGTGAATCTGGTTTTTGACGCGAAATTTTCAGTGAAATGAACTAAAATCCCTACGGAATCCAAGGTAGAATAGTTGTCACAACTGCTTCTTCTTTGCTTTATTTCAGAGCGGATTCACGAATATCGCTCACATATTAAGGAAATGTAATCATGTTAGAGAAGAACTAGAATTCCTATATTAGAATCTATTTCCATGTTGGACAGTATTTTTTCTCGTTAGGAAGCCTGTTTGACCCAGCTCTCGTGCTTGTTGTTCTCACTTGTCAACAAGATTTACCTGTAACCTTGAAGGAATAGTTGTCTCTTTGCAGATTTGAATTCCATTTTCATCTATTGCTGTAGCTAGAAAATGGGTTGTCACCGAGTTGTTGAGGCCCACGATTCAACTCCCGCATGACTTATGGTTACTTGTGATATCTCCTTTATATTCCGGGTGAGAATTGATCAGCCTCAAGTCATCTCGTCTAGTGATCCTTACTGAGAGCTGACATTTGATTGTTTGCATACGTAGTCGTGAGATGAAATAAATTAGAGAACCGCTGAAAGCCAGAATGTAGTGTCGGACTCATCATCAGCAGTAGGCACTCGTAACCAGGGTTCGAACCAAAGACTTCCAAGCTACAAATAAATCTTGAAGACCATTCAGCCGCTGAGACACGGGCAGATGACACATGAATTTCAACTTGTACAAATTCATGATTTTAGTCTGACCACGGAAAGGTCTTGGGTTTCAAACCTTATGAATTCGTGCTGATGAGGAGACCCAAACTAGGACGAAACAGTTAGCTATTCAGTACTCCCAACTACTTTTCAATGATTCTCTAACTAACACCAACCCGTGGTCTAGCCTGAGGCAAATCAAATTTCCACAAACTAACTCCTGAGAACTAATATGATGCTTGCTACACGATGAAGTTGCCTGTAGCCAAATTGAGAGGTCTTGACTAATGAAATCCACCAGTCAGGTGTGAGGACAAATACTTGCCTATGACACTGGCTGATGATCACCCTAAATATCGCGAATTGGTGGAATTCGAAATTCATGGTCCGCTGGATCAGATACCAGCAGCTGAACGATTTAGGAGCTGATTTGCCAACAGGATAAGTTATTTCGGTCCGTTAAAATATAATCAATGCGGAATTCAAAAGACTTCGAGATAATAGTCAGCTAATAAGTTGTGGCTGAAGTAGATTCGCGATTAAAAGACGATGGGCTCTGGCTTTGAGTTAATCAATTCCTAGGATGCAAGTAGGTACCAGATAACTAGCCCTAAATAGGGCCGAAATCTCACTTTTCCATTTCCGTTGCAATACAACAGCTTATGAGTAGTTTTCGTAGACATATTTTGATTTAACAAACCCCAATATTGTTATTGTACTGCAATCGCCGTAAAAACACACACACAAAGTCAATGCAGTGTAAACACAGCCCAGTGGGTAGGAGATCCTCCTGTTTAAATTCCGATGTCTAAAGTCAAACATACTAACAAATAGTTCTTAACCGTTTTTAACTACTCATATTTTGTCAGTAGGTAAACGGATATCACAAAATTTAGCAGGCTTAACACATAAAGAGCTGGATATATTACTGTTTCCTTTAATTCCTAGAGGAACATAGGGCCTCAACCGCACGTCTGCATTGCGTTTGGTTCTCTGCCAACGTTTTCACCTGGCTCCACGTCTGCTCACATGCTTTCATCCCCTCTTCACATGGATATATCATGACATTTAAATTGGTAAGCATTTTAAATGAAATTGTTATCGGATAAAATCACAGCTCAAGTTATCAGCAGTAACTCCACATTGCAAAACACTTGAAAAACAAATAAGATCGACTTCTTTGATTGGATAATAGGTAATGACTAATGCCATGGGCCTAATCCCTAGTGTTGGTGCAGACTGAATTTTGTCAGTTTGCAATGTGGTCACCCATCCACCACGGTGGACTGTGAATTGTAGGTATTAGATGATTGGGGTAATCGACAGAAAGCTTTGGACCTAGGTTTCGTGATAGTTGGCACTCGTCAGTCAGTTGCTAATGATTTTTACTGAGATCTAAATCAAGGGGTTTGATTGTATGGATTTGATTTGTGGTCACAGTATTGATCACGAGTTGAGATCAGTTAAAGAACCACTGGGAAACCAGTAGGAAGTACTGGACAGCTGTCTCATACTAGTTTGGAACCTATGGCCAGTATGCGCTTACTTCTAGGGTTCAAACATGGGATTTCCAGTTACGAACACTGGCACCCAATCCATGAATTCCAACTTCTACTAATTCGTGATTTTTTCCCTAGTGCAACTGGCACCAGCCAATATCGGCCATGGTGAATATCACACTTTCCACATACTTGCTATCTTGATTACCATCGATGATAAGGGTATCAGATTGATATTCAGGTGTTGGTTTACAGGGATTTCATTTGATTAGTTACAAGATTTCATCATGAGCTGATATTGGTTAAACTACTGGACAGCTAACTATTTCGTCCTGGTTTGGGTCTCTTCACAGTTCGCACCCAGTACGGGTGACTTGCTTTTCCTAACTTCGCTAGTTTTTGACAGTCCCTAATAAATCTGTAGATTATTTAATCAGAATCAATTAAGTTCGATCAATCGATAAATGTTTATCATTGTATATTTCGTAAAAAATATTTTATTGTTGGTAAATATGATGACCGCATAGATACTTGATTGTTGACTTTAGTGAGTAAACTTCTGTTTAAGATAACTATGAAAAAAGATTCTCCCTCTGTGGGGAGAGGGTGGGTGTTTGTCTCCTGTGCCAACTACTATTTATCACAATGAAGATAAACGGGACCATTTCAATTTGGTTAGCTAGCTAGCTAGTTAGTTAGTTGTCCTCATAAAAAACATTTAACGCATCAACAACAACAACAACAAAATAAATAGGCGAAATATGCTAACAACAAACAAACGCGTGTGTGTTTGTTTGTTGGTGCATGTGTGTGTATGTGCGTATTGCACACGAGCCACTTTGTGTAATTGTCAACACTATCGCCTGCGAAATGTTGTATTTGGCATGAGATTAAAATTGTCTCTTCTTTTGCTTTTCCTTTTCATACAAAACGACATATTTAAATTTCAAATGCTAAAAGCAGTTTTTATTACTGATGGATAGTGATTAGCAGTAGAGAAATCTAGGATGCGTATTTCGTCTCATTTTAGACTCGTCAGTCAGTGGGTGACAGTGTTCTCATTGAGGCTCTGACCCAGTACTCCAGTGGTTTCAAACGCCAAAGCGTCATCCACTAGACTACCACTTGGGCAATGAGATCTACTTTTTACTTGTTTAACAGATGTCAGCAGTTATTTAATTCAATTTGGGCTTTCTGGTTGACTGATTGGACAGAAGTACTCATCCTGAATTCCACTGCTAGTCACCATTAACCAATTTACTTCAAGTTAATATTCAGACATCGTCGTGACATTTGCACAAGAAGTCGACATGTCAACCTGAGGCTAATCACTTCAGTTCGATCAGTCAACGGGAAAGTTTGGTTTGCACAGGGATTTGATTGGTTTCAGGATTTCATCGTGACCATTAGACCACTAAGCCACTGGGACCTGACCCAATGTTTCATGGATTCCAACTTCTGCCAATTCACAATATGGCATGACCACTAGCAAATGTCATCACTAGCCAGTTTTTGTCCTCATAACCGACCTGCTGTGCCCCACTGGTCTACGAGCTCGCCTGGTAATCAGAAGGTCTGGGTTCGAACATTGGCTGTGGGTACGTACTGCTGATGAGTCCCAGGCTCAAAGGCGAAACAGCTAACTGTACACTACTTCCAGGTTTTCCATTGGTCCTCTAACTGATGTCAGTTCATTATGAAACCCTAAAGAGTTTCTGTTGGTTTTGGCAACCACTAGAAATTATCTGTCACAGTGTGGTCGCATAATCCAGTCCACCACAATTAGGAATATGGTGGACTGGATTATGCGTCAAACAGTGGGAAACAAGAAGACAGGAATATCGTGGACCGACGCGAGGAACCTAGAAAACCTGGATGTCGCGTGTGGATGATTTATGTTTGATGTCACACAAAATCTAAGACTTACAAGAAAAAACCGACCGAAAAACTGGTCGAAGAAGCAGCCAGCGAAGACAGGACTCCAAGTGAACATAGAGAAGACGGAGGTTATGAAAATAACCAACCAACCAACAACAGCAGAAACATCCAGCGTCAATTAGCATCAACGGGAGGGATTTGAAAGAGGTTACTTCATTCACTTATCATCTAGGGAGCATTGTCACAACTACAGGAGGAAGAACGGATGAGGTTGTCAAATGGAGCGAGAATCGGGAAGGCGAGAAACACATTCATCAACCTGAAACTAATCTGGAAATCTTTGTCACTCAGCATTAACAACAAAATTTGGTCGGATTTTCAATATAAACGTCAGTCAGTTCTTCTATACGGTTTAGAAACTTGGCGGGTGGGTTACAAAGAATATTTCCAACAACCTGTTGCAGACCTTCATCAACCAACAACTGTCTTCGCTCTCTACTGAAGATCAGATGGCCAGGCCGGAAAGAATCACCAACAATCAACCAAACTATGGGAACAAACAAACAAAACATGAACCAATCTCCAGCCAGAAAATATGCAGGAGAAAGTGGAGATGGATTGGACACTCACTCGCTGAGGAGACCGCCGGGTGACATCGCGTGCGCGTCAGTCCATTCCTCAAGTGGAACCAGGCCGAAAGGGCAGTGGCGAGTGGGTCGTCAGTGCAAGAGTGACATGAAAGAGATCGTGTGAAAAGGAGTTGATAGAGTATGGACTAACATGGATGCAGGTGAAAAGTACAGCAAAAGAGAGAAGCCAGTGGAGACGTGCAGTTGAAGCCCTATGTTCCAGTAGGAACCCAAAGGAACAATAATATAATAATAATAATAAATCACACACTCATTGATTGGTTAAAGAATATAAAACTTTATATGCCTAGCGGTGTGATTACGTGAAAATACACGTTTGCTTCTGTGTCTTGCTTTCTGCTGTTACAATAGAAAGACGATTTTTTGAGTGTGTGTGTTGCCAACCGACACGACGTATCAATAAAGATGACATCATTGTTCCTCTCGTTGTTGGGATTCAGGTAATAGTCAATGTGAAACTGTGCAGTCAGAACTCCGAGTTCAAATCCTGCTCCACCTATTGCAGTCTGAGCAAGTGAGCAGGATCATCACACACACACACAATAAGTGTGGCCTGTAGCTTAGAGTATGAAAGACCTTCTAAGGGAACTCAGTCCAAACAGTGAAATGTTGTCAGACTGAATTATTTCAGAGTCTTTATTCCAAGTGAGATAGTGTACTACAAGTGGTGTTTTGTACATCTGTGGTTCAGTGGTAGGATGCTCACTGACCAGGCCCTACATGATCGGGGTTTTATCCTAGCCCAAAGCACTCCTAAATTCCTCTCGCTAAGCTCGTAGTAAGGTCGATAAAGAGGGAAGCTTTGGCTAAGTGAGACTAGAAACCCTACATCTTGGATATAAAACCACTGCTACCGTAATTTCAAGCCACTAACTGGGAGTTTTATGTCCCATTCAGAAAATAAAGAGAATAAAATTAAAAATAATAATGAATAACAAGTAGTGTTTAGAGTTTTGAAACACCGGACAGATTGTTCACTTTAGTTTAGGACACTTCATCACTACGCGCCTATGAAGTCACTCGGGAGTCAAACTGTAGGACTCAGGTTACGATACGAGCAAGTTGCTTTTCAGCCGCTTGAAGAGAATGCAAGAAAAGTGAATTCCAACCTCCGCTAATTCGCAATATGTCATCAGATCCAACCTTGGTGAACTCCCCCCCCCACCAGTGACAACTGCTCACTAAAACTTCAAGATCAAATACCTTCCCAATACTTTTGATTTCTAGTGCTTCTGTGGCTAACATCAGTTTGAAGTGAAATCTAACACCGGAATCAATCAAATCCCTATAAGCCAACATGTGAACTGAAGACGAATTCACAATTTCTGTCTATTATGGTAGGGTGGTTCCGCTTGATTGTTTCTCATTACTACTAATTATGAATGCAAGTCATGATTACATAAGACTTCTGTAACGTAACAGAGACGCTATCCGTTAATGACTGTTTCAAAGCAATGAAAACTGGAGTTCAGAGATCATGTGAGCTACCCAAAATAATTTTTGAATGACGTATTCAGCAAAATTTTATGAATAGAGGACCTATGAATAAGGTAGTCAATAAAAGAAATGGGAAAATTTGTGAAAGTATGAAACGAAGGAGAGTCGGTAGCACAGTGGTAGAATGCTCACAAACCACGCCTCATGTAGTTCAGGGTTCGATCCCCTGCCGACACACTCCTCCATTACCTTCCTAAGTCAGTAATAACACTGGTAAAGAGGGAAGGTTGGGGATGAGACTAGCAATCCCATTCAGTAAAATAAACACCACTGCTACCGAAAGCTCAAAAGAGCTGTAGCTTGAAGTCCTATATGTTCCACTGGGAACGTAAAGGAATAAAAAATGTAAAACGAAGAGAAGAAGCAGAACTCGATTTCGGAGCTCACTGTGAGGTTGCTATTACTGGATAGTCAGAGACAGTCACCAGGAAGTCCTGTCTAACCTAGGTTTCATGCTTCATGGCAGCGGCAACACGGTAACATCTCTAACTGCAACACTTGGTGGTGACAAGGGTTTGACTCTTAGAAGAGACATGAGTTCCTTTAGGGTTGTAGATACGCTTTGCTGACTGACTAGTGATTGCCAACAAGCACAAAACCTAGGTCAGCCGGAGCTTCCTGCCTGATTGCCTGGAATTGTTTAATAACGAAAATCCAGCGTACACTATGATGGCGAGCCACGTAACATTGTGTGGCGACATTGTAAACATGGCTGATAAAATTCAGTCTGCACCAATATCAAGGAGCGGATTCATGATACTGGTTACTTACTGCCATCACTGTAAGTAATTTTGTTAGTTTAGCATTTATACAGCAGATATCTGTCTGTATTCTGTCACCCCCCCCCATATACTGAACACCAGATATCACGAGTCGGTGGCACAGTCATAGAATATCAGCTAACCATGTATGTTGCCTGAGTTCGATTCCCCGCCAACGCACTCCTAAACTTTGTCCAATTCACTAGCCAATAGTAAGTCCAGAAGAAGATGGAAAGTAGGGCATGAGGCTAGAAACCCCACCAGGTAAAAGCAGCAACATCACCGTGACTGAAACGTCCAAGCTTGAAGTCGTGTTTTTAATTAAAACTACATACTACTAATCGATTGAGTTGGGTAGCTGTACACCACTACTCACTTCCCAGCCAGTAGTGCTAACTAACCAGGAGCCATATTGAAGTGATCTAGACGCCAGACTGTCGTTTCCCTGGTTTGAGATCGAACTCACTGGTGACGGACGTAGCCGGTTTAACTCAGCTCAGAGGGGAAGACGAATCAGCTCAAACCATCCACTTCCTGGCTAGCTGCTTGGTCGAATTGATGATTGACTTGAAACCCTGTGTTGCACTCAGAAGTCAAGGAATGACGCTAACTAACCCCTCATAGATCTATTTAAATCTTATGAATAGATACCGAAATTATAGATATTTCATGTATATACAGAAAATGGCAAACTACATGATCTATTAAGACAAACAGTTTAGTTGACGACGTTCACCACTTGTGTTCACATGTTTCACGTTTATACACGTTAATACAAACTTTGATATGACACATAGCTGGAAGCAGTTGGCAGGAATCTCTAGACCGTAAGTTTTGTACTTGTTGGCACTCATTAACAAGGCGTATTTGCAGCCACGAAAGAACCACTATCCCCTTCTGAATCCGTTATGGCCCTACACGAGTTCAGATATTGAATCAGAACAGTTTGGGGGCAACGTATCTGCGACATCAAATCTCTCATTGATAATATTGCTTCCATGTAGACTGAAGATACGCCATACTGATGAGTGCCAGCAGGTACGAAATCTACCATCTAACCAACCACCAAAATTCCCTTAAGAATGCACTTAACTTGGCGATGAAATTTTAAACTTGATTGAGAGGATTCATTCAGCGCTAAGATGATGAAAAGGCTAGACATATAACACTCATTACCACCCCGACCCCCACACCTGCCCTGGTGATAAATCAATCAAAATTCATACTTTCTCTATGATTAACTCAACTAACCTGATAAATATGAATAATGACCAGTGTTGGCAGTGATTGTATAATCAATAATTCACGTTCTTTTTCTGATAATTCACAAATTATTGTTTGTGTTGTATCCGGTGTTGAATTCATCCCTGTCAAATGATGCATTGACGCCATCACATCATTATTATCTTGCTGTAAATCAGTAAATTCTGATTGTGATGATAACAACAATAGCAGTGATTCATTTATCCATGTATATTCTATATCATGTTGTATTTTATTTAAATCGTTTAAATGAGGCATCATAGTATGGCTATTATGTTGGGAGGCATGTTTAAATGACTGAAGTTTGTTTAGTATATATGATATTCTGTTTAACAGCTGATTAGCTGATAATATAACAGCTTCTATATGATAATTATGTCCTAAATAAATTGGACTAATCGTATATTCCTTTGACATAATCCATTCTTCAATTGTTTTCTGTAAATCTATAATTAATGAATACATCTCTTGTGGATGATGCATTGATGATGACGGAGATGGAGAGAATGATGAAGAATCCGGTTGTCCACTAGTATTCATATCGGGTATGATGTTGTTTCCTGCAGTATAAGTATTTGATTGGTTTCTTTGCAATTGACTTCTATCGTTGAAGGGATGAATAAACTCTGTACCTTTATGTGATGATATAATTTTATTGAAATTTACTCTGGAGATTGGAGAAGTCGTTGATATCGCTGATGATGATGATGATGAAAGTGTAACTGTTGGAGTCAATGACGTGGAATAATATATCTGTTGGGCGTTTTGATTAGGCAAATGATAGTAGACTTCATTAGAACTTGAATTTGCATGCCTAACTGTAGGTGAACACTCATACTGTTGTGTATACGGAGTGTATAACGAATTCTTCTCGGAATTTGTAATTCCTCTGCTTTCTATCAGCTGTGGAACATTTGGAGTGTATTCAGTGTTTGGATGAGTGAAACATGTGTTCATTACACCTCCATATGGATTATAACGCATTTCTGGTAGTTGATTACTAAAACGATTGACGCCATTTGATGTAATATATTTAGATTGGGTAAGATACTGGCTGCATGTCAATACAGGATTTCTCTGAGAACTGTGAACTGTGGCGTAACTATTCTCCACTGGTGGTGCTGTTTGTGACGGAATAAAGCCTGTTGGAATGCTATCGACAGTGCCTCCTGTACCATGAAAGTAAGCTGCTGCGACTGCAGCAGCTGCTATCACAGAATGTGATGAATATGGCGTCGATGGACACATATGTGTCTGTGAGCTTGCTCGAGCCCGCTGAACAGCTGAAATGTAAAATACATTTTTTATTAGCGCATTTTATAGTTAAAATGTCGATTGATAATCAGTTATATTTGGCGGATAGTAAATGGCAGGGGAATCCAACAGCCAACATTTGAGTCTCATTAAGAACGCTATCATCACTACCTGGAGACTGCAGGTACTACACCCAGATGACGAATACCAAACAGGAGCAGCTAAGTACCATAAAATCTACTGCTGGTCACCACTCACCACGTATCATTGAAGCATCCGGGCTAAAAACTGACATGTTAACGCAGAGACTGAAAATTTCAGTTCAGTATGAAAATCAGTCAGTGCACAAGATAAAATTAGTCTAAAAATAACCAAAGTCATTTCATCATGAGCTGACATCGGTTACAGAACCATTGGAAAACCAGCATGGTGTATTGGACAGCCGTTTCGTTCTGGTTTTTGGGGATTCTTCAGCAGTGTGCACCCACCACCAGGGTTTCAACCCGGGACCTTCTGATTGCAACGAATACAAGAAGGTATGTTGTACACTAACGTTTATAAAAACAAAAGCCAACGCATTCTGTTAATAGACATATTTGGACTTTAATTCATCTCATCCGTTATCTATCTGTGAAGACAGGCTTAGTTGTTAAGTGTCTCACAAACACAGCAATAGCGATAAGTAGTACAACAACAAAAAAACTAAACTATGAAATGAAATACATAGAAGATTAGCTGGTTGGTGTTATATAACTGTCTTATAAAATTCATTAGGAAGATCAGAAAAGGTCTTAAGCAAAATAAAAATAGTTGACAAAATAATAATGATAACAGAAATAAGAAAGAATATAAGGCATCTACAGTAGTTTCACCATATAAGGCGGGGACATCTGAGAATCTACGTAGGATTCTCAATAAAGCAGGAATTAGGCTGGTGGTATTCAAACCTACAAAGTCACTTAGGTAGGAAAAGCTCTGTACGTTAAAGGACCCCTGTAGGTTCCCCCCAATTAGACAAAATAATATAATTTACAAATTACCCTGCAATGAGTATGAGGGAGATCAACTACATGGGTTTGGAGTAGTGAGATTATCAAAACATAAGAATTTAGCTAAGTTAAGAATGAGTGACCCCGCGAAGATAAGTAATTTAGAAAAGAGCTCAGCAATTGCACTGCATGCATTAACACAAACAACCGCACAATGGTGTGGGTGTGGGACGTAGTCAAAATTCTAAAAAGTACTAAGGGTAGGTAGAGAGAAAGAGAGGCTGATTACTGAATCCTGGTTCATCGAATCTACTTGCACCCAACACATGCAACAGAAATGACTCAACACAAATACCAGAGATGTGTATGGAAGATATTATTACCGCCAGTCAGTCAGTCAAATCAGAGGAGGATAATAAATAATCTTAAAATATATTCAATTCAATTCACATTATAACATTCTAAAAAGTCAGTTATTTATTTTATTGTAAAAAACATTTTATTCGCCATCCTGTTGTATTTGATTGATACCATTAATATTATTGTTTCTGAATGTACATTATTCTGTATTGACTTTTATTCAAATGTTTAATTACCAACATTGAGGTTAGGCGTAGAGTTCTAGGTAAGGAGGGGAAATCAATCGACGAAGTCGTGAAGCTACAAAGACTGAGATGGTTAGGACATGTGTTACGTATGCCAAGCCATCGCCTCCCTCGACGAGCTATGTTAGCGGATATAGGGTCAGGCTGGAAAAGAGCTAGCGGCGGTCAAACAAAAACTTGGCCTCACCAGTCAATGAAATCCACAACAGTTGGTCTAAGCCACGTAGGAAGGTGTAGACTTCCAGGCTGGGGTCCTCGGGACGGTAAAAATCTATGGTTGGAAACAATTGGTGACATGGCTAAAAATTGTTCTCAGTGGCTAGCGCAGATGCATCCACTCCCTGTGACTTATGATCTTCAATGAAACTGTTTTGTATTTCTTTATTACTCCTTTGTCTCACACCTCTGCTCACTGTTTCTATTATGCTTTTCTTGTACTTTCTTCTCTTGCTTCGCGTGCTACACGGAATGTGGCGACTTGAACTTCCGCACATTTGTGCAAAGTTCTATGTCGAAAACAGACAGACAGACCAATTTTTACTCATATACATAAATGAAGCAAGAAAGTTGTGTGAGTAGTGCCTTGATATGATTATCAGCAGCAGTGATCAATTGTGCTCAATACGTGGTTATCATCAGTCAATATTATTACTTACTGTGTAACACCACTGTGTGTGTGTGTGACTTTATCAAAATAAAATTTTATCCATGATGGAGTTATACTCTACCATCACAATAGTGCCCAAGTTTTATTACTTATATCAAGAAAGAGAAAATATCAAGCAATAAACTCCTCTGAAAAATTTTGGATTTAATATGAACACAGTGTTAATTTCAAAATGAAGTGAATATGTTCTAGGATTCTTGGTGCATGAAATAACACCATCATTCTTGATAGTGTGACATCGATTGTGATTGATTGTGTGTAGAGGCTTTCTTTGCCTTCTGTTCAGGTGCATTATTTGTAATGATCCTTTTGTTGACATAATAGTTGAACGTTTGCTCTATAACTTGTACTTTTACTGAGATGAATAAATTTGATTTATATCCTGATGTTTGTCATGTGCAGATTGATCTGACCGTCAATGCTTCCAGGGATCTTTTGGAGTTTTTGTTATCTCCACTGTCTAAAATTTCTCCGTAATTATTTATCTACATGTACTGATTTGAAAGAAATCTGTCAGTTAGCGAACCACCGAACAACCTATTGTCCAACAAGTATGCCGAAGGGAATGAAGATAGAGTGGATTCACTTTAAGGAGACCGTTGAGTGCTGTCACACACTAACTAGTCAATTCTTCGAATGGAACTCAGATAGGAAGTGATAGGTTGGTCACTGCCTCAAGGGTGACATCTAGGAGATGAAAGCTCATAGGCAGTCGGGGAATGGGACATCTAAAGAGGACTACTGAGGATAAGGTGAAGTTGAGATGAACTGCTGAAGCTTCATTTCCCACTTGGAATCTATAAGTGATTTAATGGGACATATATCGTATCTTTTCACCTCTAGTTTATGTTCTTGGATGCCAAGGCGAAGAAGACATCCACATCGGCCAGTATTGTATAGCATAGTATTATGTCAGAATAAATACAGCCACAGATGATCTGAGTATTTCAGTTATCAATCAATTTCATCAGAAATCAGTAAAATGATCATCTAGTGTTTGTATCACTTCAGTCCAGTCAATAGGCAATATAGATTAAAGAGTTCGTGTTAGATTCACTGAAACTGTTGAATTTTCCATTCGTTGTGTGTTTAACAGTACTTGAATAGTCGATCGTTTTTGGTGCTAAGTACACATTCTTAGATGATACTATTAGATTGAATTGGCGTTGTTTAGTTGATGGTAACTGACAGTTGAATTCAAGGGAATGTTTCGTCCCATTTCGAGCTCATCAGTTACATGCATCGGAATTCTAATAATTCGTAGTTCTCTCAGTGAAATTTTAGCCCAGCATCCATTATTTCAAACGCTAAATGGTTAGCCAACAAGCTACTGGGTTACTTCAACCAACTCTTATGCAATCAGTATCAATTGTTATTTCATTTAATTGATCGATTATATTTTTTAGTAATAATAAAATTAATCACTTTATCCCAAAAACAATAACACCTTATCCAATGCAAAAGATGCTGGAAAAGACATTTTGAGGTCTGCAATTAATAGTGTTCTCTGAGCTGGTTGGTTTAGTTACGGAGCTTTCGTCGTCTTTCTGGACGGCGTCCAGAGAACACTATTAATTGCAAATCATCCACCTGAGTTACAAATCTTTTCTATTATTTCAAAACATTTTGAGGTCATCAGCACATTTAATAAAATTAGCTTTTGAAGAATGTGGAAAGTCATGCGAAACGAAAAAAAAAACAGAAATGGAAAGATTACACCACCTTGAGGCACACCAGTTTCTGTTCGCAATGAATTGGAGCGTTTTCCACTTAAATAGTATGCTATTTTCTACCCGAAAAATAAGAAGACAGTCAATATGTTACCCAGGACTGAAAGAATGCTGAAATTAGCTCGCTTATTAAAACTACCCTAAGAATGCGGTCAAAAACAGCAGTGTAGCCTAAAACCGAGGCGTCATCAATACTCGAAACAATATTGATGTAGAGTACGATGGCAGTCAGTATCTTAAGCGCTTCTACTGCATTTATATGCAAACTTCTTTTGGCCACTAAGAAATTTCAAAGAATTGAAATACTCGGTCTCCTGACTACGGATGTATCAGTAGCACCCTCAGATCAACTTGATGTTATTTTATTAATGCCCGTCTGGATTTCACTATCACTAGCGAACATTAATCAAATTTATATCCATTAAATAACTAAGATTTAATGTCTTCTAGACGATATCTCATTGAATATCATAAAATATTATCTTATAATAAGCATGTTGTTTTATATTGTATAACAATGACAGAAAATAATAGTTTATTATCGAATAGATAAAAATCTATACACATTTGAATATTCTACTGTTCAATGTTCAATGGAAACGAAATTAACTTGGTTAATTTAAACAATTCAATACAATAAATCAAAGTAATAACATCTATCTCCTGTTTAATATGTTACATATGTATACAAACACAGAAATATGTGTACATGTACAAACAAAAGAGCGTTGGCGCGCACACCCACACTCTTAAATTCATCATTATTCAACAATATCCCGTGTAAATAAATAATCACTAAAAGATTTCAAATTCGTTACTATGGAGATTGATATGTGAATAATGCCACACGTTCATTATTTTAGTAAAAGAAAATTTAATGACGAGGAAGATTTAAATCGTCTACTCCAGTGAAATGGTGGAGTAAAAATGAATTTTATTTTAAAAATCTCGGATAATCCTTTTAGGTGATTTATTGAGAAATAATCTTTTGGCCAATTAAACTGAAATTAAACCATATTAAGTGGAATTAACTCAATT